AATGTAAACAAATATAGGGTTTAGTATCGGGTGTAAGTTAGTTATACACCTCGGGATACGGTGTGTCTGAATAAGAAACCCCTCCGTCCTTCGGCCGTCGGGGTTTCTTACCCAGACACACCTATCCCTCGGTGTATAACTATTACTGAACCTGCTTTGTACCCTCAGACCCGGAGGTTATCTGCCCTGAACCTGCTTTTGACCCTCAGACCCGGAGGTTATCTGCCCTGAACCTACTTTGGACCCTCAGACCCGGAGGTTATCTGCCCTGAACCTGCTTTGGACCCTCAGACCCGGATGTTATCTGCCCTGAACCTGCTTTGGACCCTCAGACCCCTGGCCGAGGTTCGGACGTACACTTGAAAATGGCCTAGCAATGCCACTGTGATTCAATTCTTGTGGAAATGAATTTTTGCGAACATGTGTGTTAAGTTTAATTCATTTGTATCAAATCTGTTTGATTTCCATTTTTATGTTTTTCGTTATTCCGTGTGCTATAGCTATAAGTACTATTTTACTATTGTTTATTATTTACTTATTGTCGCAATTTCACCATGTATTTATTTATTATTTTTTTTATCTTATTCTAGTTTTTATTTTTCTTCATTTTCGCCTCGAGAAGTAAATTTTATGTGAACATTTTTCATACTCCTGTGCACCTTTTACTTTGTGTCATGATTGCAATCAATTTTGAAGCCGTGGATGAATACGTGATGCTTTGAAAATATTTCAGATCTTACAAATTGAATCACTATGAATTGATTGACAATTAATTAAATAATTAATAAAAACTTTACATCATTGACCCAGAGTTGAACTCTACTTACACAGTTTGAGTAATGAGTTGAGTATGCATTCACATTTAGAGACCGATATTACTTATTGTCATTTCAAAAATTTAAAATATAAATTCATGATATTTAAATTTCAGCATTAAACATTCAATTAGTTATACTAGACAGTCAGATTCTAGAGAAACAACAACTATGCTTTCAAAAAGATTATTCGACACAGATGGTGAATTTGATGCAATCCCAGCATCTGTATCTACTCTGAGTTTTGATTTTACTCCAGTAAAGGCTGATAACCTTATGTCTGTGATGACTCCAAACAGCAAACGGAATCTGTTTCCTGATTATGACGATGACTCCGGTCTCGGTATGGATGATCATGTTACATGCACACCAGGTTTTCAGAAATCGGCCAAGCGGCAGCGCGAAGATGACGACAACTCCAGATGTTCAAAACTTCCAAACGTTTGTACCGATATAAAGGTTGTGGTGACCAAACTTTCAGAAAACGACGACTTCATTGCCGATGGTAGTAGATTACATTCTTTACCAACTGTCATTGGAAAGCATTCTGATTTGAAAAGCATCACTCCGCAGACACTTGCTGATGTTGTTAATGGAGACTACGATGACGTCATTAATTAGTGACTACAAGATCATCGACTGCCGATACCCGTATGAATTTGAAGGCGGACATATAAGTGGAGCGGATAATATGTATTTACACGAGACAATTTTAAGTTTGCTTCGTCAACCGACTTTAAATAAAAAGAAAGTAATTTTTCACTGTGAGTTTTCGTCCGAAAGAGGTCCTAAAATGTTACGCTTTCTCAGAAGCAAGGACAGGGAACTCAATAAAGAAAACTACCCATCGCTGAACTTTCCAGAAATTTATTTACTAGATGGTGGTTACAAGGCATTCTTCAATGAACAACCATATCTATGTGATCCAGTGAGCTATCGACCAATGCTTCATTCCGACCACTCAGAAGATTTGCGACATTTCCGAGTCAAATCAAAGTCATGGACAGCTGGAGAAAAACGAAGATATGCAAGAAAAGCGATGAGATTTTAACATTGCGATGTAAATAGTTATTATTTTAGTGCTATGAATAATCTGTGATAAAAGAACTATCAGTGCTTTGTTTTATATAAACTGTTTATTGTTCTTGTTATTTATATGTACACGTATTATTGAGATATAAAAGGTTAAACATAATTTATGTTTTGTTTTGTTTGTTCTCGTAAAGACTACAGGCGGTTGTCATGATGTATAATTTCCACGTTGCTGTTACTGTGAAAAAATATCTGAAACTATTACAATATGTTCAGTTTACAATTGAAAATTAATTGAAAAGAGAGGCGAAAGATACTAAAGGGATATTTAAACTCATTAGTCGAAAACAAACTGACAAAGCAATGGCATGGCAAAACACGAAAAACGACGACAAGACAAACGACAGTACACACACACACACCATAGAAAACTAAAGACTGAGAATTACGAACCCCACACAAAACCGGGTGTGATCTCAGGTGCTCCGGAAGGGTAAGCAGATCCTGCTCCACATGGAGCACCTGTCGTGTTGCTCATGTAAGTACAAACCCGGTGATAAGTCTAATTCGGTAGGTCACATTCGAGGAAAATAGGACGGGATTGTGTTTACGACAATATTTGGAACATATCAGTCGTCATCTGAGGAACAGATATTGCATAACGGTCAAACAACTCGAGATGGCGTCCGTCAAATTTTCGAAGGGATGATTTCAAATCCACCACTTGGAACATTTATTGAAAGTTCAAAATCATTTCTTTTGTCATAAAGTATTGTTCTCAACTGACCCTCATTATCAGTTTCTAGATGTCAGTCAAGATATATAAGTAGACTTTACTGTATCTGTTGTATCCTTTATTTCAAGTTCGATTGGATAGATGCGTTCAACATAACCAACAAATTTTAAATTATTCAGTGAGAGGACATCATCTGTGTAGTGAAACATGAAGTTAAAGTAAAGTTTTGTTCTCAACCGACCATGAACCATTGATACCAAACCAAACCAAATTTAACAAAATAGGAGAGTCACACAAAAAAATAGTGATCGAAATAATTTGTTCTATATCTATATAGTCAAATGCGGTGAAATTGACGTCACCTAAACTCGAAATTGATCTGTGTTTTGTGGTAATAAGCTTTGTGTTTAAGTTTCATAACATTTAGTTAAGGCAAAATAAAGTAAGGGTGCGGAAATGCTAAATTCAACAATTTTTCCATTTATAAATGGACAAAACTAGAGAACAGTGAAAGTGACGCCACCCAAAATTTAAGTGATCTGTGTTTGGTGGTAGCAAGCATTATGTATACGTTTCGTAACATTTGGTAAAGGCAAACTAGAGTTAGAGAACGGAAAGTTCAAAACAATTTCAGGACTTACGGACGTACAGGGGTATACCTAAATGCCCATCTCCAATGGGCGGGGACATACGAAAAAAAATACTAGTATGACTGACAGCAACCAACGACAGCCACTGAATTAAATGCTCCTGATTTGGGACAGATTCACATTTGACCAGGGGTGAACTTCAGTGTCAACACCCATAAAGCCACCCATCTATCTACAGTATCAGAGGGTGAACCACTGTAGTGCTCTTGAAGAGTAGGAGTTTCTATTCACTGTCCCCATGAAACTAGAAAAAGAGCTATTAGTGATAAGGATTAATACCATATGATACACTATCAGTTGAAGTATTTTCTCTAATACATAACTACGGTACATATTACAGTAATGAAGGTTATTTTGAAGGAGTTTATTGATGTATAAACTGGATCGATTCATTCACAAACAGTAAAGTGGAAGGACAGCATGAAAAGTTTGTGAGTGAAATAACTCAATAAAAATCAACTTTATTACTTGTATTTCAAATAAAATGCCCTGAAAATTATGGACAGATAAAATATTTCATAAACACTGACAGAACTACTTCTCCGTGTAGAAATTCATTATTGTAGCACCATGTAACAGGTGCATCTGCTTTGTATCGATCTGATGAGTTGAACCCTTTTCAACTGATTTTTATAGTTCATATGTTGTGCTGTTACACCACTGTCCCAGGTTAGGGGAGGGTTGGGTACCCACATTCTGTATGTGCCTGTCCCTAGTCAGGAGCCTGTAATTCAGTGGTTGTCGTTTGTTGCTGTATATCATATTTGTTTTTCGTTCATTGTTTTGTACATAAATCAGGATTATAGTTTCTCGTTTGAACTGTTTTCCATCTGTCATTTTGGGGCCTTTTATAGCTGACTATGCGGTATGAATATTGCTCATTGTTGAAGGCTGTACGAAGCCCTATTATTAACTTCTATTTCATTTGGTCTCTGGTGGAGAGTTGTCTCATTGACAATCATACGAAATCTTCTTATCTTTTTATTATACATTTATAAACTTGGTTTCCAATGACATTCACCAATGAACCAGACTTTACAAAATAAATTATCAGTACATGAAAGTTCTTTTACCTATTTGACCTAATGCAAAAATATGAACTGTTTTTTTTTTCAGGAAAAAAGGATAGACAAGTCCATTCCCCATGAAAACAAAACAGACATTGAAAAAATAAACATCAGAAAATACAATACAGAAAACGGATGAAAAAGTTACATGAATCCACTTATAAACTAAGGGGAGTACTGATGTGCTCCACAAGATTAGGCAATTCCAATGGTTTTGATGATGCCCTGCATTTGTGTTTTTATTTGTAGTAAAGAATACTGGTTTTGTCTGGCAAGGAATGACAGGATTTCTATGAAGAATTCACCAATTGTATATGCAATACTATGGATTATTTATTATTCCTTGGGTAGTAATTTTCATGGATGTCATGGGTAGTAATTTTCATGGATGTCATGGGTAGTAATTTTCATGGATGTCATGGGTATAGGTGGACTATGTAATTAGTTGTCAAAAAAATACAAATTTCTAATATGCAGAATTAGATAAAAATGACAAAATCAAGTATCAATGAATTTTTTTTCTCGATCCATGATGCTTTGTACCAAAGAAAATAAATTAATCATCAGTATATTGATTAAAACCGCATACATTCAAAGACAATATGTAGTGGTTACCGATGATTATTGCAGAGGTGACTGATGGTGTTGTACAAAAACAGCATGTATTGAATGGTTTTAGGGCACAAAAAAATACCACTAATGCAGATAAGATTTTTTATTGTATAAACTATCACATTAATTTTGGCTGAAAGGACGGTTACAGAATACACAGGACTAAAACAAGCTCTTTGTTTCTAACCAGATACAGACTACAAATACTATCATAAAAATGACTGAAATTGAGTTAATTTTAGTTTTTTTTTTTAAATCCTTGAATGTTTGTTATTCTAAAAAAAAATGTAATAAAACTTGCACACCTTTTTCTTGTTAAAGTAGGAGGAGGCAAAGAGTTCCATGATCCTATTCCTTATATCCAGAAAAATAGACTACCAAATTCCAAAATAAACTCTTTTTTTCTGAATCCTGATATATTAAAAAAAATTCCAGAACTTTGAATGACAAATTTCACACATGGAATAAATATTCATATTCTGAAAAAGGTCCTTAAGCACCTCATTTTGACACCATAGACTGATGTTTGGAACGATGTGAAAGTGTACCCCAAAAATCTTTGAAATTTCAAATAATATCTAGCTTTGATTCAAACTCATACCTTGTACTTGAAAAACACTATGAAAATAAAACACAAACATTTAAACAATTTACTGTCAGCATTTATGAAAATAAAATAGGGTGAGTAACAACTTGTTATTGCCAATAAATCTATAAAATGTATTATAAGTTAAACTTCAAGGGATAAAGAATGAATTTGAAATGTAGATATGATTACGCACAAATGTCAAAGAACTAAACACTTATTAACATAATAAATAGAAGTTGATCCAAAATTTCCATAAAATTAGAATCAATGAATGGCGATAAGTGTTGTGTGTCATCCTACATGTTTTATGTCAGAATACAGTATTTATTTTAACAAAAGTTAATATACTTATGTACTGTCAAGCTAAAAACATAAACTAAAAAAATCCAATTGATTTTATAACTGTGAGTTAACTTCAAGAAGCATACGCAACCTTACAAGAAAGTATTACCATATATTGTAATATTGAAACAATGCTGAAATGTCTCGTCTGTCTTACTTATCATTGAATTTATATTGAAAGTCTGTAACATGAAGGTTTTACTACAAGTATCACATAAACTTAACATTATCAATATTCTATGATAATGAGGTCAAAGTCAGATGAACAAAGCCAGACAGACATGTACAGCTTACAATGATTCCATACACAAAAGATAGTTGACCTGTTGCTTATAGTATCTGATAAACTGACAAAATTACGAAAACTTATCATTGACCAATGAACCATGAAAATGAGGTCAAGGCTAGATAATACCTGTCAGACAGACATGTACACATTACAATTGTCCAATACACCAAACATAGCTGACCTATTGCTATTAGTATTTAGAAAACCAAGCAAAACACAAAAACTTAACACTGACCAATGAACCATGAAAATGAGGTCAAGGACAATGGACATTTGACAGACGGAAACTTCGTAACATAAGGTATCTGCATACAAGGTATGAAGCATCCAGGTCTTCTACCTTCTAAAATATAAAGCTTTACACAAATAGTTTATGCCGCAGCCGCAGGATAGTAATACCTAAGTCTTGCATACTGCGACTTTTGTCGCAGGCAGGACAAAAAGTAAATTTTGATTATCTCCCCTTTAAAATCTTGGACAGGGGTTTTATTCCATTGTGCACATCACAAGAAGTGTTTTATAAATGCATACATTTTTATCATAATTTGCCTAGTCTTTTAGTACTATTCATAAGGCACATAGACAGACAGGTGGGCAGAGAGTCAGACAAGAGGATTCCTATCTTCCACCAAAATTTTGTTTGCAAGGAACATACTATTTAAAACAACATGCTATTCCTTTTTGCTACATGCTCTGATTTATGGAATCATAAAATCTTTATCATTCTTTTGATTTTTGGAATAAAAAAATGTGATCATGGTAAAAAAACAAAACTTTTCAGTCACTACTTAATGGGAATGGGCAGGTGTTAGAATATTAAGCATAAGATCATATTTCTATGAATTTTTTTTTCCTTATAAAAATCTACATTTTGACTTAATAAATGGGAAATGGATATTTTTTTTTTTTCAAATGGTAACTAAAAGGATAAATAATCCTAATCACTAATTAACATGAACAAAGTGTTTTGAGACATTTTTTTTAAAAATATATTATTCAAAGAAACAAAGCTAGCATTGTAAAATGATAACAATCTGTATATACTATTAACAGAGATTCTACCGCTTGAATAATAAAACTATCTGTGTCTAATCAAATGTATATATAAAAATTTTAAAAACTCTAAAAATTCTAAATATTTATATCTGACAGTAATTTAAAAAAATCTTATCAAATTAAAATGATTCTGTTGATTTTGCAAAAATGATTTCAAATTTGACTATATCAGTTCTTTTAACTTGTTTCTGTCTTATATTCCATTGGTTTTTCATAACGTTTCAAGAAAACAAAATGAAATTCCTTAAATATGAAATTAGTCAAAAGTGTATTCTCATAGATAAAAGTTTTAACAAATTTTAAAATATTTTTTTTTATTCTATATACCGGGGTACATAAAATACTTTCCATGAATATTGTTGCTTTTTCTTTATGTTCAGATTTTAGGACTTTTAAACAGGTTTGTTTTAAATGATACATAGTGTCAAGCATTTCTTTTTTGTGCTTTCCAAAATATGGAGCATAAAACCTTTGACTGTTGATAAAAAATATTCTTTATAACTATGGTTAACAAAGGAAGATAACTCTAGTTTACAATGAAAATAAAATTAAAATTCTAAGAAAAAGGCAGTGTTTCAGTACTTTGCAACAACTATATTAGATTCATTTTTTTTACAACGTCTTATCTGATAGTTTAATATAAAAATGTACATGTTGGGTAATTCTGTAAATGAAAATACAAAATTGGTTTCTACAAATGAAATATATATAACAGGTTGAATATTCAAGCCAACTTCTTCAGAAGGCAAAATAACAAGGATTTGATCTTTGATGCCAATAGACAAATACATGCATGTAACAGTGTTCTCAGAAATGTTTTGATAGAATCACATTTACCTGGTACCATAAAAACAATTTCAGGTAATGTTTTCAATGTAAAGTAAACATATATTAGTAATATTATAAGTTGTATTCTTTAAAAAAAAAATTTAACAAATCATGAAATGCCTAAGAACAGTCAACACATTTGTGACTGTTCACTGGACGGAATGTTTCACTAGCTGTACAAGGCTAGTACTAAATATAAAAATCTATATAAAACTCAAACTTATAAAACAAACATCTCAACAACAAAACAATTACTGAGCAAATCAAACATTATTTGATTAAAAATTTATCACAATAAATTACTATTATATTCATAAATGTACATCAGTTAACAAATAATATCTCAATAGTTGTTTACAGCTTACATATATATAATACTGTATTTAACCTTACAAAATCCCTAATGGAATCACGTTTTTTTTATAGGGAGAAATAAATTAAAATAACGAATTTATGAGGTTTGTTATTGGTAATACAGTTGTATGTATATATATGTTTATTAAGCTGCATCAAAAGTTATTAATCAATCAGAAAAAATAAAATAGCCTTTTAGTCAAAAGATAAGGCTGGGAAAAAGAAAACACAATAAAATGTAGAGACAGTCTGTCCTCAATCACATTTAAAGATGATAGACTTGCTAACTTTGGTTTAAATTACCTAGTAACTTGTGGAAAATTACAAATTTATAAATATATAATTCGCTCTCCAAAATGTGAAATGGCAGCTATTAAATCTAGTAGCGATGGTGCTTACATTAAGATAAATACAAAAGTTTGTTTAGTTTGCAATAATGATTATTATATTACTTAATTTATTTATCATTATTATTTTAATTTTCTATTGTAATATAGCACTAATATTTTTTTTTATTACAATCATACTGCATCAACTAGTTAACTGGCAACTTAATAAGCGTGCATACAACCCTATCAAATACATGTAGTTACATTTCATGTATTAATATGAAAAATTATAATAGTTTCTTTTCAATTTATGATGCAGTAGATGAAAAATATTATTTGAGGCAAGCTATTGATAAATGTCATGTTTCATGATTTCCTACAAAAATACAATAAACTGCTTCGCTGAGCGCAGCCGGATACGCCCGCAGAGGTCCAACCCTGAACAGTTGGGGCAAAAATGGACACAATATTCAAGCTTGATACAGGTCTGAATTTGGATTGTAATTAAATATTTGACATATTATAGGTTTCTGAATAAATGTAGTCAAAAATAAAAGATTTCTTGCTGTTGTGCAATACACTGTGCTGTTGCGCAATACTTAGTAAATCTGTTGTCAGACTATAAACAAATAAAGTTCAATTAATTCTCAATGTCATATTAGAAATTTATGAAAATGTAAAGGGAACTTACATCAATAGATATAAACAATTCACCAAAGTTTCATGAGAATTGCTGACAGCATTTTTGAGTTATTGTCTGAAAACTGGAAAATCCCCCCTTTTTTAATGAATAAAACACCATAACTCAGAAATGTAAGATGTAAAATTCAAAAAATTCTAAAGGGAGCTTACATCAATAGATATAAACAATTCACCAAAGTTTCATAAGAACTGTTGAAAGCATTTTTGAGTTTTTGTCTGAAAACTGGAAAATCCCCCTTTTTTATGAATAAAACCCTGTAACTGGGAAACGTAAAATCTAAAATTTATAAAAATCAAAAGGGAGCTCATGTCAATAGATATAAACAATTCACCACAATTTCTTGCAAGTTGGTGAAAGCATTCTTGAGTTATTGTCCGAAAACTGGAAAATCCCCCTTTTTTTAATGAATAAAACCCCATAACTCGGAAACGTAAAATCTAAAATTTATAAAAAACGAAAGGTAGCTCACGTCAATGGATATAAACAATTCACCAAAGTTTTATGCAAATTGGTTAAAGCGTTTTTGAGTAAATGTCCGACATGTTGACGACGGACAGACAGACGGACGGACGGACAGCGGTATACCATATTACGTCCCGTAAACGGGCGTATAAAAACTGATACAAAACAACCAATGTCTATACTTATACTTATACTATTATAATATTTAATAACTCTCTATACCTATCTATATCTGGCAAATATGTTATGATCTAAAACAATTTCCTTTAAGGGTACAAATTGTACAATGGAACAAGCCATATAAAAAATCCAAAATATTTTTTTTGCAATCCCACTTATTAACCATTATTCAAAAGAAAAAGCTTATAATTATATATTATAAAACATCATGGATATTAGAACTCTTGTAAATAACATGAATTACATTTACAGATGAAACTTTCACTTTGTCTGTCCTCAACCAAGTTTCTTTAGATACATGAATCATGCACTAAATTGCATTTTCCCAAAAATTCCCTGTTTTTCTTGTAATACTTTTATGAGGAAAAAGAAGAAAATATAAATCCAGGCGTGAATGAATCTTTAACCAGAACTTGTAACAATATGAATGTTTTTTCATCCCACAATATATCCACAATACATGTATTACAATTACCTGGAACTAAAAAATTCCCAAAGAAAAAGCATTTCACACACATTTTTGGACAGAACTAATTAAAAAACTGTAATTGAAGGCACACTTCTGTAACTTGAGAATTTTAAGAATTTGATAGCCCGGATCCCAAATATTTATTAACATACCAAGTTGTCGCAAAGTGAAATTACAATAACAGGCACTATTACATGTACTAACAAAGCAAGGAAATTTTTACTTCAATGACAGGAAATTCTAGACCTACAAACATGACAAATACAAAAAATAGAACCATCAAAGGAGATTATTTTATCTACCAGTAGATGCTATACAACAGCTGCAGTGACCTCTGAATTAACCTCATGATGACCACAATGGAATTTTTTTTCAGTCTGGATTGTTGACCGATTATCTTTACTACATACATAAGTCTTTTTTATTCATAATCTCATTTAACTTTTCATATGCTTTCTCTGATTTTTTTCCCACTTGTTTATGTGTGTGGAGAGAGGGATCACATATCAATTCAATCAAAGCTGAGGGTCTTACTAAGAAATGACATAATGTCATCTTATACATGTGATGTCCATCAAACATGTAAAATTGAACATTTGTGCAATGATGGAGGTCATCTTTGATATTTGATCATGAAAAAACAGAGATCTTCCATGATCTTACACTACTTCTACTGCATTCATATCTTATCATGTCACAATCACTAACATGATATATAAATAACATATCATTTAATCATAAACTAGACTAAAACAATAATTAAGTTCATATCTAACAACTAGATAGAATAACTAAACCATTTCTTCTAAAAATTATCAGTTTATGATATTCAAAGGAACTTAAAAAAGGCTTCAATTTTCCAAAGAAACTGCTTTAAGATTTACCAAGTGCTTTCTCTTGTCTACAAAATTACCCTTATATGCTTTAAAAATCTATGTATAAAAAACATTTGAACATAAGCTCTATCAAGGGAAATAACTCTTGAAGTCTGGAAGTAAAAAAATGTACATATAACATATTATTATTAAAAATCCTCATCCAGACTTTCTGTAAGGAAAGCTTTATCGCCGTCTTTCTCCTCACTGTTTCCTTGGTTATATGAATCCCCATATTCCTTATTCAATAACTGACCACAAGTATCAATCAATGTTGACAGATCTTCCTTTGTAGTGTACCGTGAATTGTCTTCATCTGGAGTTTCTGTGTCCGTGCTCCATTCAGGCTCTTCCTGATTGACGAACACTTCAGGTTCTTCACAAAAAGATACATGTTTACTGGATTGGTTTAAAGGATTGTCATCCTGTCTTTCATTTCCATCCTTTTTTTCATCTGAATTTTCTTCTGTCTTATTATCGGTTCTATTGCTGTCAACTTCATCATAGCCAAGAGTTTGTTCATTTTCGTCCACTTCTGATTTTTGAAAATCTGCATTATCTAATTCTTCAGGAAGATCTAAATGTGTGTCTAAATTTACATTTTGTCTTTCCTTATTTGTTTCTTCTATATTTTCTTCCTTTTTCGTTCCATTTTCCTCAGAATTTCCATTTACATATTGTGTATCATTTCCAATTTTTTCCTCTGTCTTTGAGTCATGTGACTTATCTTTAGTATTAATATTGTCATATTTAATATCTTCTGAAGAACTAGTATGTTCAACATCATCATTTAAAGGCACCAGATCCCTGGATGCTTCACCTCCCTGAGGTTCAATTTGATCACTTTTCCTCAAAGTTTCTTCAGAAAAAAGCTTTTTCTGCATGCTTGCTAAATGTTTAGGTACACCTTGTTCTGGTGGGAAGGGCAGTACAAATGGATTGGCCTGGTCCTCGCTGTTCATGATTTCCTCTACATGTGCAGGGGCACTCGATGGAACAGGCGAGTATGGCGACCTCATGGGAACGGGAACTTTTCTCCCAGCAGCAGGCGCTGTTCCTGGTCTCTGGTATATTCTTCCAGATACTTTTAAAGATTCTACTGTTCGATCTTTAGCAGTACCTGGTCTATCGTCTGCCATTTTATAAGAATGAGTCTTTGAAGGTGGTTTAGGAGATTTGCTCCCATCAAAACTTCCACCACCAAATGACCTATTTGCGGAGGCATCATACCGTTTAATGCCGGTGTCAATTGATTTTCTTTCATTCAACATTGTATGGATTCTTTTTTTAGCAACTTCTGGCACAATTTTGGCTATTTCTGGATCAGATTTAGATAGAACTTCTTTCTGTCTAATTTTATCCTGTTTTCTTTTTTCTTTATCTTCTTTTCTTTTCGTATTAATCCAATCATCATAGGTCATTCTTAAATTCCTATCACTTTCATCCTTTGCTGATTGCCAATGTTCTTTCTCTGTGCGAGTTGACTGTAATTTAGGCTGTGCACTCATTGGTCTATTTCTCATGTTCAGTTTAATTTTTCCCGCTACAGGCCTTTTATACATAAACTTTGACGTAGGTGGCAGTGGATCATGACTTTTCTGATCATTTAAATCAAATTTAAGATGTTCTGATGAGGTCCCTAACTGGTCCTGTACTGTCTGTGCAGTACTACCTGTAGCATCTATTGCTTCACCACTATTTTTTTCATTCCTTGTTTTATATGTAGAATTACCACTCTTTTGTTTCCATGGTGATGGTGCCGTCTGTGATCGTACAGTTATACCTCTAGTAGGTGATGACAATTCAATTCTTATTCTTTCCTGCATTTCAACCTCTTTTTCTTGTTGTTTTTTCTCCTTAAGATATTTCTTGTAGTCTTTCTCTTTTTCTGATATCCATTTTTTCACAATTTTCTGAGATTCCAATCTGCGCTCAAACTTTTCATTTGCCTCTAAAACTAACTTCTCTCGTTCCTCCCTTTTCTTCTTTCTTTCATCCTTCTCTTTTTTTCTATGGTCTTTGTCTTTCTGTTTTAACCATTTTATTAAATCTGGATTCTTGCTTGCTTTTATATGATGTATTTCTGGTTCTTTTGACCTTGATCTTGGAGACAATGTCCTGGACCCAGAGTAATCAGACCTTGATCTTGGAGAAAGTGTCCTTGACCCTGTGAGATCAGAGGTACTGTCCAATGTAGAATTTAATTTTGTTTCTGAATCTGACTTCTTTACTTTTTTCTTCTTCTTTTTTATCATAACTGGATGAGGATCAACAATGACCTTGCCCTCTCTGGCAGCTGATGTATTCTGAACTCGCTGGACACTAACATATGTGTGATCATCACCAAAATCACCTGAAATAAAAATCTGAATTGATTAAAATTATTCTTGCTCTACATGTTGATTTTGTAAAAGAAGTCATGAATCCATATATACCTATATTAATACAAGTAAAAAGTTGGCAATACCAAAAGATACAAATGACCCCAACAGAATATAAGAGTATTAAATTTTATCGTAACCATGTTTCCTACCTAATTATATCTTATTTCATTTCTATTTCTTGTTTTTTTTAATATAAGCTTCAAATGGTTGCAGCCAGTGTTGAATTATGAACTACAACAAAATAATGATAGAGTTGAGCCTAGGGGAATCAAGAATTTTGTTTTAAGGAGAGAATGGAATCTCTGATTTCAAATTTTTTTAATGGGAAACAAGGAAAAATGTAAGACTTTTCTAAAAAAAAATACATTATTTACTCTTTAATTGACCATTTTCTCATTTTTTTGTGCGTTTGATTGGCATTTTATTTTTGCAATTTGCTTAATTCTGTAAATATTTAGACTTATCTCCCTTTGTAATATTATTTCAAATTGACCAAACATGTAAGCTTTGGTTCATGTCACAAACACAAGTTAAGCTCACATAAACAAATCAATTTTATATCTTAAATAATAAATAATTTACAACTTAATTAAGACTACAATTTAATATAAAACTTCTTTACAAAGAGTCAGATATTGATTTGCATTTGTAAGTTTAATTTTTATTACTTTATTTGTATATGTCACCATGACTGAACCAAATACTGTGAATAAGGGTGCTGAGAATTTCCATTTACAGTTTTGTACATAATGAATCAAAGATATTTCATTTCACAAGTTATGAAGTGTGATTTCAAAGTAACAGATTTTATTATTTATATGTAGAAAATTGCAATTTTATATTGAGCTTGCACCTTCAATAGCAAGGCAATCAATAGTTTCAGTAAAAGTTGAGATATATGGTCAGATCATATATTTTCGTACATCATATGAATTTGTACTATGCATGCTTTTTCAATGGAAATTGTGACGTCAAAATGCATTCTTAATAGCACGAAAACCCATGAGACGAGAATAATGTGAGCTTTTTACTAACAAGATTCCCATATCAAACTAAACACTGTTCATAACACTGTTTTGAAATATCATTACTTACATATCTTGTATGTTGGTTCATTACTTTATATTTGAATGAAATGTTTAGATAAATAGGGGTCTTATTGCCACACCCATTTTGAGTCAAAGACAAAATACATTTGTATGTTGTAGATGTTAATTATATAATATAAGTTACTACAATGAAGTTATAAATCTAAAATACTATGAAATCCTCAATATTTGTGGGATACCAATTTTCATGGATTTCAGTGGTATTGGTAAAACACAAATTTAGATGTTCATCAAAGTACAAATTATCTAAAGGTTTGTTTGCAGACTTTGGCAAAACCGCGAAATCATATATCTACAAAAATACAATTTCCCTCAATCCATAGGAGGACATAGAAATACTGGGCACCCCTGGGGTCTTGTAAGTACTCTCAAATGTACGATCTTGCCAATTATTTTTACAGGAGCTATGTCCCTTAGACATGAAAATTCTATAGAAAATTGCATTGTAAGCACTCTGAAGTGTACAGTTCTTGCCAGATATTTATGAAATTTATATCTCAAAGATTTATATCAACAATGTCTCAGATAAACTGATCAATTAATTTTACAGGAGTTAAGTCCCTTAGAAATGTAAGTTCTATATAAAATTGCATTGTAAGTGCTCTCAAGTGTACATGTACAATTCTGGTCAGATATTTATGAAATTTTTATCAAAAGTCTATTGCAGCAATGGCTCGGACAAGTTAAAAAATCAGTGCCAAGCAACTTTAAAAAGAAGAGTAATGCCCCTTTAAAATATCAATCATATATAGAAAATTGCATTGTAAGCACTTTCACCCCTAAATTTCTTATAGGGATTGTTATCAAATTTATATCATAGGTTTGTATCAGCAATGTCTTTGGTGAGTTCAAAAATCAGTGCTGATCTGTAATTTTTACTGGAGTTCTAGTGTCTCTTTGAAATGTAAATTATATTGAACATTGCATTGTAAGCACCCTCACACATACATTTCTTGTTGAATTTTTGTGAAGCATATATATCAAAAGCTGATATCAGCAAGGTCTTGAAAGAGTGCTGACAAACTATTTTACAGGAGTTATGCCCCTTGAAAATAGAAATATATGGAAAATAACATTGATAGCAATAGTATGCCTACATTTCTTGTAAGATATTTATTAAAAAGTTTAAAAAATGATTTTTTTTTTCAAGTTATTGCCCTTGGGGAACAAAGGAACTCTAATCTTTTACTTTAAAAAGTTGGAATATATGACACATAAAAAGACAGAACAAGTAGAAAATTCTAATAGAAACTAGTTTTAAATGGAGTCATAACTGATAGTGTTAACACTCATATGGCCCTGAACCTGCATACATGTATAAATAGATTTAATGCATGTTGGTCAAAAATCACTTCAGAGTTACAAGTCTTATTACATCCAGCTGTTACATATGAAGATTATAAATTGATAGCGACAACCTTTAAACTTTGGATATGAAATTATGAATTTTTCCTAGTTTATTTCATTAATTTTTATCACGAAAGTTATGATATCGATTCCTCAAACAAAATCTTTATTTCTACTATCAAAAATTTTGAGTTGAAAGTTACTGACAACATAACTATTTATTATTTTCAACTAAATCCTTTAAAATTTGAAATGAAAAAGTTCCTGGTAAATTTATGGGGGCAGAAAAAGATGGGAATTTCAGAATATAAACGTGGGTTGAAATGATTTGCTATCCTCTGTGTTATATAATATAATACAATGTATTGGTATATTTGCACTAAAATCTATCTTTGTTCATTTCATATTAATACTATTAAAAAGTTGGTTTCTATGTTCATCAGACATGTTCAAGGTGCAAATAATTGCAGTTACTGTCTGTTGATCAGCTTTTAAAATTGCTCATATCCATATTCAATCTATCATGCATGTAGAATTCATTAACTATCATATCGTCAAGTGTAGAAGATCAACAAATACAGGTTTTAATGTGCATGTTGTGGGTGATAAATCGATTCAACAGTTTTATAATTGGAAACCAGTAAATTTCGCACTTTAACAAAAACTTATTTTCAAATACTTGTACAATCATTATAAAGTAAAGTGCCCACTTAGACTAAGTTTATATCAGAAGCCATTCACAAATGGTGATTTTTTACAGTTCAACTATTTCAATATTTCTACCAAGATCTTAATTCACAATTGCAAGAATATTTTAATGTAAACATACCATTAACACAAAGACTATACAATGTACATGTATATCAGTACAATACAATGAGCATAACTGGACTTTCGTAATTTGTCTTGGGCTTATTAGACATACATGTACTACAGTAACTACACTGCTGGAAATAATATTGGTTATATTTACAGAGGATTGATGTCATGATGGATGGCTGTTTAACGTCCAGCGGCAAATTTAATGCATATTCAGGATAAGATAATTTTTATGCGATACAAATATGAATCCTGCCTTGTTCTAGACCAACATGACTTTGTAATTTATAAGTTCGCATACCCTGCAATGAGTTAGTTTTTACTTTAGAAAATAAATTTGTTTCCACTAACATTACCAAAACTATTTTTTGTGCCAACCCTTAAGTTATAGAAAGTAAGAAGATGTGGTATGATTGCCAATGAGACAACTATCTGCCAAAGTTCAAATGAAGTGGATACATGTATAAGCAATTATAGGCAACTGTCTGGTCTTCAACAATGAGCAGAACCCATATATTGTTTATTACATTTAAACAAGACTACTGAGTGTACTGCAGAGAATATAGAATTTGTATGCTGTAGAACAAATTCTTTCAGAGCATGTTCATGGCAACGCAAGCCCGTACGATGGCCTATAGTCATGATAGTTGCTAATATTTACGTCATTTGGTGGTCTCCGGTTGATACTTGTCTCATTGAGAATTATACAAAATCTTTATATACACAAGCATAAGTTAACTACATGTACATTAGAGACTGTCCTAAAATCTTCTACTTCAGAATTTTACTTTCTATTTGCATTTTGTCCTCAAACTTTAAATTTCTGTATCAAAGTCTATTTACATGTAAATTTTTGTGTATCAAAGTCTATTTATATTAATTTTCTGTAACTGATCGAGTGGTAGATTTTGTAATTATAGGCACTTTTCTACACCTACATGTACCTGTATTCTAAATTATCATGCATATACCTTTGAGAGTGTGTTGTAAGGATTACAAGTTTTAATGTACAATACAAGTATACTTATTTAGTGCAGCTTAAATGTCTCAATGTTAAATGTAGGTAAAGAACTGGGACTACCTAGAAATCTTACTTCATACATGTATGTTAAATGTAAGCTTTATAAATTCACTGAAAATTCTCATTGACTTTATGATACAAATTATAAACCATTTTGAAGAATATCTTTGAAACTTTATTTGATGTTACGTGTATCAGAATATATATTATTATGTATGGACTGGTTTTACTTTCACCATTTTTTTCTGATGAAAGTTTGTTTTTATTGTTAATTATCTATATATAGACATATCATGCATGATCAGGGTTCTCACTAAGGATTTTTCAAGGCAAGTCCAGGGACTCGTCATTTTGGCCACAGCGAGTCCAATAGTCATGATAGTGAGAAGATTAAATCTTATGCAATAAAATAAAATTTCAGTCTCCATGACAAAAAAGAGCAAGGAAATGACATGAGATCTAGATTATTTTTCAATTTTTTTGTGTAAAATTTTAAAAATAATTATATACATATGTGCTCATTCAATACAACATTTACAATCTTGATGCATCTTTGGTCTCGCAAGTTTTGATAATGATGACAGATGAGTCCAGACATACATGTATATTCATGAGTCTAGGACTCATGGACTCGCCTTAGTGGGAACCCTGCAGATTTTCTATCCTCTTGTGAAAAAGAAGTTATTAGAGGACCATATTTTGACCAAAAAAAATTGGCTGTTATTTTACCTATGGTATAAATCCCTGATCTGAATCAGTGTTTGTACATGTTTAGAGTCCTAGGAATACCAATTACATGACGATCACTTCTTTTGATCCAAAAATTGATAAAAAAAATTCACATCAAAGTGTTACTTCTACTGCACATCAAAATATCATGCTTATTAATTAAATGTCCTAAATTTTATGTCATTTGGAGAGGTTGCACTCATGATTACCAATACTAATTTGAAAAAAAATGTTTGGTATAAAAATTCTATAGAAAATTAAATGTTTACGTACCGGGGTATGCCTTATAATTTTTCTAACAATATGTAGAATACTTAATAATGAAATAAAGATTATAATATCAACTTATCAAGGTCCAATAAAGACAATTAGGGTATGAAAAGTTGTTAAAACTCATTAAATAGTGTATTAAGAAAATTTGGAGTTGCTAATTACTGCTGTTTCATTGATGTTTGTACATACATGTACATTACATATTTGATTCATATCAAATTAACTACATAATCATTTACCAAATATACTGCCGTAATTTAAAACATTGTTAAATATTTTTACAATGGAATACTTAATCAACTTATTTATATGTATTTATGTTTATGATTGCCGAGATAATGATATGAACCATTTAAAAGTCATCAATTTAAACTCCTCCATACAAAAAACAAATTATTTAAAATATCTTTAACCTATTCAAGTGCACAAACACATTTAAAAGAGTTAAAGGGATTATTTATATGTAAATATTTATACTTAAAAACCATTTCTAAGTGAATAATTTGTTGCCAATCACAATCAGGTTGTCTTGTTTGTTAGTTTCAATTACAATTATGGTCTTATTTCGAAATATTACTTACATGTATAAGTTAAAAATGTACATGTAAATGTATCAGTAACGGGGACTTAAGGATTTTATAATTTAAAATTATTCAATATGGTGATTTTAACTAAAAATTAAATTTCCACTAAAATGATTCATTTCATGTACAATGTTTGTCTTCAATGTCATTTCGTACATTATTTAATGTTGAAATCTTTAGTAATGTGTATTAAAATAGGCTTAACACCATTTTTTTCTAGTTTCTTTCTTTTTTAACTGGCTAGAAATATATTTATAGTTATGAAAAGAACAAGACAAATACTGTGTCTGGACCTGCATTGCTGCATGCAATTGATTGAGGTAACATGTATACACGAGGCTCGCACAACTGATCATTCATGATCATAGACCAAACATTAAAAACATTTACTTCAATAGGAGCCAAGAAAAGTTTAATGAAAATTTTCCTTGTACAAAAATGTACAATGAGTGTTGTAAAGTTTCAAAGTATCAACAAACAGGAAGTGGCTACACTGCAGATGCAAAAATTGCTTACTGGCTACAACTCAACATTAGGCCAATTAAAATTAATTGATAGATTTTCATCCCCGCCCGCCCCTCTGAAATCGTTCCGCCCCAATTTTTTTTATTTTGAAAAATTTACGATTTCCTGATTTTGTTCATTTTCGTTACCGGTAACTGTCGATTATTTCATTTCATTAATAACATCCTGTTTCAAATTTTGGTTTTTGCATTTCTTTGTATGTTTGATTCGTTATACATGTATATACATGATAGAACCTTATTATTACACTTGCATATATGAAGAACACGTCACAAGAGCGTTTCATATCTAATAAAAAATAAAAAATAAAATCCTCCCACCCACCCCATTTTTTTCAAAAATTTGGATGAAAATCTACTAATTAAATTTACTTGGCCTTACCAAGCTGAAATATCAAATCATTCCATTTCATTGAAGCCGAGAAAACTATGACTAAAATCTTCCTTGTACGATGAGTGTTGTAAACTCTCAAGCTACATGTACATGTACATGTATCCCCAAACAGGAACTGGCTACAGGGCAGATGCAAATATTTCTTACTGGCTACAATTCAACATTATCAAGCTGCAGACCAAATATATTAAATCATCCGATCCCCTTTCATATACATGATATACATGTACATGTAGAAACCAAAAAAACTTTGAAAGACGGACAGAGTCAAACGGTTACTAGACCTGCTTCAACTTTTGACAATACAGGTCACCTTAAGTCACTAACAGGATTAAAAAATATCGCACTAATTTGGGAGATTGTATCATCAGGAAGAGAGACAACTACATTACTTCAACATTTATTACTGTCCCCCTTTACTGATAAAGGTAAAAATGCACAAACTAAAATGAATCATTAAATTGTGCAAAAAATGTATTATCAAGAAGTACATGTACATGTATATGCCCATATCCATACTTCCTTCATATTAGACTATGACCCTTTAAAATACCTTCTCCAGTACGTAAATATACCACAAAGTATACACATTTAAAGTCTAACACTGTTTTGCTAATTTTTCCAAAAAACTTACTTGTCAAAGTGTCCTTTGACCTTGACCTGATTTTTGTCAGACCTTGCGGTGCACCTCTTTTTACTCTCATACTTGCTGGTAAACTTCTGGGAACCAGTATACCACTTGGAGGTAAACCATGGCTGGCACTTACATACTGGTCCCTTAAACTGTGCATCTGTTGGAATTGCTGCTGAGTCATCTGGGCATGGGTACCAGAAAACTGAGTTGCCATCAAATTATGAAGTTCTTTGTATTTTTGTTTTATTCTCTCCTCAATAAATATATCTGGATTAATATCAAATGACCGATATTTCCTAACTTCCCCTCTTTTCAGTAGCTTTTTCCGTTTTCCTTTGCGACCAGAATCACTTGCAGAATCATGATTGACTTTTTCATGTCTTTTTATAGTAGTTTTAACAGGGGCACTCTGTGTTGATGATAATGAATCTGATCTTGGTTCTTTTACTGGAGATTTAGGGGTTGGTGGTGATTTTGATCTCTCCCGTACTTTCTTTCTTGAATATTCCACAGATGGTGAACGTGACCTTGAACTGGATGAACATGAAGATGATGTTCGTGAGCGTGAACGAGATCTTGAGTAAGAACTCCCACTTGATCGTGAATTTGATCTAGATCTTGAGGATCTTTTAACCAATCTTGCTCTATCTTGTGATCCAGAAGACCAAAAACTTGAAGAGGAATCAGATCTTGATTTAGAACTAGCTGACAACGACCTTGATCTACGCCCATTTTCTGGCAGAGGAACAATAACCTTTCCATAACTAGTGTCCTGGACCTCATGTGAATTTTCTCTTACAATTTTCACTCTTTGACGTGACTGTCTATCAGGTTTGTTTGCACTTTTCTTCTTCATTTTAGGACTTTTTGGGCTTGTCTCTTTCACCAGATTTACAAATAAATCTTTTTGTTCATTTGTTATATCACCTTCAGAACTGCTCTGAATAAGTTTTTCCAGCAATAATAATTTTTCAGACTTTAGCTTGGACATTCTAAAACGTAAGATCTACATTCCAAATCTGAAATAAAATACAAAATAGTGCTTTTTAGGTGAAAATTAAGAAATATACGACATTTATTCTGTGATCGCCAAATAAGTAAGTAAATAAATATCTATATAGAAGCAATGTTGTATGTTTCTGAATCATATTTGTTTGTATTTTTTATCTTATATTGCATGATTTGGTTAAAATATTGTTTTAAACCAAATATCAATGTCAGTCACTCATCTTTGATATTTCCAAAATAATGAACAAAAAAGCTGTCAAAATAAAAAGTATTAGTACTAGTGTAACTTATAACTTACAGGTAAATCAAATTTTATAACAATTCAATACATTCCAGTAGCATTTGGATAAGGAAAACTAAATTTTTGGAAAAACGAGTTTCCTCAATTTTCAATTCAATTCAATTCAATATTTATTGGAAAGAGCACAATAGAGGCGTGATTCAAATACAGACAATAATATATTCAACAACATTTAAATGAAATATAGATCCATGTAACAGTAAGTCATAAAAGTAAATTCTATGGATACCATAACATTCAGAACTCATAATGATACCATACACATACATGTATACAGCATGATTATTTTAAGTTTTCATAATTTTACTTAAAAAAACACTATCACCTATATAAGATTATTTAGATATATGTGGATATGCACAAGTGACTATAAAGGATTATTATCCAATGAAACAGTATGGTGGTCTCTCAAATCAAAAGCTTCTTCAATATACATACAATGATATGTTGGTGACCTTCTGCTGTTGTCTGTTCTATGGTCGGGTTGTTGTCTCTTTGACACATTCCCCATTTCCATTCTCAATTTTAACTTGATTCTTTTTCAGAATTAGGATTTAAAATTTTGATAAAATTTTCATCCAAATTATTTGAATTTATATCATTGATTCTATATTTAGATCTAATATTGTTATATTGAGGACATTCAATCAAGAAATGTATCTCATTTTCAATTACTCCTGTGCAAAATTTACAAAATCTCTCATTAGAGGGTATTATTGGTCTTGCATACCTACCAGTTTCTATTGCTAATGAGTGTGCACTTATTTTTAATTTAGTGAGGTTTTTAATGAATATAAATACATTTTGTAACTGAGGCAAGACAATAGTGAAAGCCACAAAAACTATTTCAGGCAGTAGGGCATTAGTTCTTATTTTGTTATTGTTTTTGCTTATTTGAACATTTGTAAAGTGTACATGTTCAACATTAAAAATCATTTGTACAAATATTGTTAACTTCTACTTGATGATGGAAAATGGGGTTTGTGGAGAGTTGGTTGTCTCATTGGCAATCATACCACATCTTCTTTTTTATATTTTCCATGAATAATGCAAATGATCACAAATGACCTGAAATTACAAGACTTTCTAACAAAGGACACAAATTTTATTCCCTGAATTCCAGTGGTAAAATGGGCGTGCGGAACACTGCAGATAATGTATCAATACAGATTATACACAGCCAATTATGATGATGTTATTTTGTCAAGAAAATTTACCTTTTATCTTTTTTATGTGTATTTGGCAAGGACTTATCATATGTAAAATAAAAATTCAACCTCATCCTTAAAATATGATGCACAGCAGTTTGTTTGGCTTGACATTCATTTCTTGTAAACATGGTAAATATTGCCTTACATTTCATGCATTTAGATAGATAATGTTGCGGTTGTTGCATTGCAACGAGACATATGGTACATTTTTTTCGTATAAGTGCTTACATGTAGGTAAATCTGATCTTCAATAAACATTTATCATTATTATACTTCACGTTAAAATGTCAGTTTTTGATTGGCTAATACGATGAGATAATTTACTCTCTCCCATGGCTCAGCAGGAGACAATTTTTTTAATGTCACTCTCTCATGCAGACCAATCAAAATCGATAATTTAAAGAAATTTACATCAATAAATTGAAAGACAATGCTCAAATTCTACGTTTTGGCTTCAGAACTTTTTCATTGAATGTCGAAATAAAAGATATATCTTGCTTTAATTTTGTTGTTTATCTAACGTTATGTCATGACGTCACAGTAAATGACCTTCAATTTAAAATTTAAAAGACCTTTCAGTATAACAAATTAAATAACACATACATTTTGTAGCTGAGAGGGTGATCGAGCAGATTGGTACCCCTCAAACAAACATTGTCAAACTTGGCTTCTCCGCGTTTGACAATGTTTTCTTGGGGTAACAACCTGCTCTATCACCCTCTCAGCTGTGAGTTATATATATAATATTGACACCTCTTTGATCAATTTAAATTAAAATCACTTATTTAATGAATAACCCATCTAGAGTAGCATAGCTTTACATTATCATGATTATGGATAATGATAATGTCTTCACATTGAATTTTCATTTTTAATTTCTATGTACAAGTGTACGTTTATACCATAATATCATTTGTATATGAACACAATAACCTTACTTAGTTCAGGAAGACTGAACTTTTACAATATATATTAAAACAAAATTTAACATTTCTGATTATTTTACAAGCAGGGGCAGTACGAATCATTTCTAAGGTGAATCCACCAAGTGCAAAAATAACCATTTATATGTTGTTGATATGTTTATATGTATTTGGTTAAAAGCTCTTGTAGTTTTTAACTACACCGAAACTAAATAAAGCTTTCATATTCCTATAACCAAGGATTTGTATAGTATACAAATCATTGCTATAAAATATAATATTGATAAGCATAGATTTATATCAACCACCAGAGACATATATACACATGTGTATATATGTCTCTGCAACCACAGATACATGTATCATTTTATTTGGATTTTGTTATCAAATGGTAGGACTATAAATAACTTGATTGTTAATATTTCAGTCGAATGTGTTATACATGTAGTACAGTACTAGTCTCAATCGAAACAAAGTCTATTGAAGCCCACCCCCCTTAATTCGAAATTTGTAAATAAAATAAAGTATCTATAGTTTTAACAGTAGTTTATACAAAGATCAAATAGTTGATTCATATGTTTACAATAAGATAAAACTCACTTAATGATCTACAACTAAATAGCATGATGGTGATTGAGAGTTGTTACCGGCAAACTGTTGCACTCTAGAGAGTTTGTGGCATGCCGACGACAACTTGTTTACAAATTGCATCTCGTTGGGTTGGGGTAAATTGAAAGTTAGTACCCGCGGAAAGAATTATATTATATTAAAATTTAACGATATCTTTTTTTGTTTTCTGTTTAATATCTCCTTTATTATATATTAAAAATAATAAACCTTCTATTTCTATTGTAAATTTAGCTTAAACATATAAAAAATAATTTTTAATTTGAAAATTAATGGAAATTATTATCGGGAGTATGTTTATCTACAAGAAGAGCACAAGCACCTGCGAGATTTGACGTGATTTAGAATTGTTATGACGACGTATATACAATTTTGATATGGTGGCTCACCAATAAAAAATGATGAAAAATTTATAAAAATAAAAGGTAAGTATTTTGCAAATAAAACTTACGCCAGAAGGTTGAATTTATTATATTTAATCATTCATAATAAACTAGAGTGTCTTGTTTGCAAATAATCGATCTGAATTTTTTCATGAAAATTAATTAAACATATAAAATATCATTTTAGATTATTAAACTAACATTTTGGGGGGTTTACCGAATGATAAATGATGGTTTGCTAAAATAGGGCTCTATTTAATCAGCTACAAAACCAAAATTATATATTTGAATGAATTTTGTCACTTTTCTACTTAATAATGGGAGATAACCCTGTAATTTAACTGTTAACAGAAATGAGCTCTTTTAGAAAAATGTTGGTTATAATATTAGAAACGCTTCTGAAACGTGACAGCAGCAACTGCCACCAAGCAATCAAAGAATGAAAACAGACAATCACCATTGCGCTGGAATATACAAATTTGTAGCTTCATGTATAGTTTTTAATTAAAAGCTATAAGATCTGCTTAGGCATCTGCATATTTAGAAAAAAGATTTCTTTGAACTGCAAGGTTAAAAAAATTTAGTCCTTAGCATTCTTAGGCTCTGGTTCTATGTAAACACAATTTATTTGATGCAAAAATAGGAGATAACTTCTTATTTGTATTTTAACTTGTAGACTCTTATTTTAACATTATAATGATTTGCTTAAAAGTTACATTGTTACAAAATATGATTAATTACCCAGGGAATCATATTTTGCAGACCCTTTCTGAAAAAGCATACAATAAAAAGTAAGTGTAGTGTCTTTGTTTGTCCAACAGAAGCTAGGCCAAATACATGTCTTTTAAATAAACATATGTATGTTTAAATTATGTTTTTTAAATCTGTTAGACTTCAAACATGACATCATGACAGGTGAATCCATGACAAATCGCCCCACTGGCAAATCGCCCCACACCTAATCGCCCCACTTTTTCACCAACTCGCCCCACTTTCTAAAAAATCGCCCCACTCTTGTTTACCAACTCACCCCACTTATGAAAAAGGGTAAAATCCCATTGAAAATAGGTTGGATAACTTGCCCAACTTATGAAAAGGGTTAAAATCCCGCTGAAATAAGGTATGCCAACTCGCCCCACTCATGAGAAATAGATAAACCACGATGAATTCAGTAATGCCAACTCGCCCCACTTATGAAAAAAGATGCAATTCCGTTGTATATCTATGTTCCTGCCCCACTTATAAATAAAATCAATACCTATAAAAACCTTAGATAAACATGAGTATGCATAACAATAACATTTTAAACAAACATACATTAAATCAATTATGACAAGGACTGGCATGATAACATAAAACAAAGTACTAGATAAAATGTCAGCACTAGAAACATGAACATGAATACTCATATATGGCATACAATAGATTGTCATTAGATAGTTCAGTAGCTGTCTGCTTCCACGACACGACAACACTGGCGTAAGAGTCTGGTTGTAGATATGCTGCCTTCAATACAGCACAAGGATACACAGTAGACATAGTAAATGCATGACAAAGGCTACTTTACTTTTTATAATTTTGAAACCAAGCCATAAATTTCTCAATTTTTTTGTTTTCAAACCATAAATAAAACTTACCAATCAATTTTTCAACAACAACAAAACCTGCTTTGACTAGAATGCATGAATGGACATTCTCTTTGATATTTACTTGAAAGTAACATTTGCCTTTCACTGATTGCTCGTTAGTGTTTAATTATTCTTAATTCAAAGACAAAAGTAACCAATCCGTTTAGTGCTATAAAAACAAATTGAAATCCTTCAATTGTTATGATAAAATATCGGATTATGATACAATTAACAGGTTTCTTTTCAATTGTTATGTAAATAACTAAGCTTACAAGAATAAAGTTATCCTCCAATAATACGAAAATTATATGATAATGAATCACGGGTAGTAACCTCGTCATATCGAAAAGCGTTTAGTACAGTGATTTTGTCATAGTTTGGTTAAGATGAACATGGTTGTGTTAAGTGTTTTTGATGACAAACAGTGTCAAAATATAAACATTCGAATAGTTTGTTAAAGGAACTAATGACAACAAATTCAAGCTGGTGAGTATCTTTGTTTATAGCTAATATGTTAGTACATCAAAATTTGTATCATATAGTTATTAATTTGACACAGAATAATGCTTGCGTATGTCAAAATTTAAAAGTTCTGATTCGTTTCTAATGCATAAAGAAAAGTGGTTTGCTTACTGTCTGCTACATCACATATTTTGTTATGATATAAAACTGCCGTCAATTTTCCAGAAAAACAGCCCCTAGTGCACACAATTTGAGATTACAGAATATTCGGTGTCATGGTTTGGTTCATTCGTGTCATGGTTTATTTCATGTTGAACATGGTTCAGTTATGTCATTCTATTCGTGAATGAAGGAAGAGTAACGATCAAAATAAACAGACATTATATATATTGAAATACTCTTTTTTAAATCGTTTTATTTGGAATACAAAAGGACATATATACGCACATTCAATGTAGTATTATATATATTAAGTACATGCAATCTGATTGCCAATGAGATAACTATCCACCCGAGACCAAAATGACGTAGATGTAAGCAACTATATGTCGTCGTACGGCCTTCAACAATGAACAAAATCCATACCTTTTAGCAAGCCATAAAAGGCTCCGACAAAATTATATGTAAAAAAAATTTAAATGAGAAAACCAATGTATTATTATAATACAATATTACAAAAATATAATCATTTTTATTCGTTCTTAATAATAATTGATAAAAGTTGACATTAAATCGGCTTCATTCTAATTCGGAATTGTGATTTTTCATATATCTAAATTCTGAACTTGTGTGTATTTTTTTTTTATTTCAATTTTACTAATAGTTTTTACAAATTTTACAAGTGATGCCGCTCACGATATCATCGACAGAGTCAATCATGGACATACGGAGAAAATAATCTATGTGAAACAGAAGCAGCTCTTTCTGTTTTTGTAATTATTATCTCAAAAGTTAGTTTAAAAGAGCAGCGACTATTTGAATTATAAAAGCAAAATAACAAAAATACGGGACTTTGAAGAAAATTCTAAACGGAAAGTCCCTAATCAAATGGCAAAACCAAAAATTGAAACACATCAAACGAATGGATAACAACTGACATATTCCTGACTTGGTACATACATTTTTTTCTGTAGAAAATGGTGGATTAAACCTGGTTTTATAGCCAGCTTAACCTCTCACATGTATGACAGTCGCATAAAATTCCATTATATTGACGACGATGTGTGAACAAAACAAACAGACATAATAGGCAAAAATGTCAAAAAATAAGGGTACAGCAGGCAACATTGTGTTATAATCTTAGTCACTATAAAAACAAAACAAATATTTCAACAAAGAAAAACAAAAAGGCATATAGACAAAGCACATAAGCAATAACGAAAGACAAGAATATAAAAATTTACCATAGCACAATAACACAATCACGGGATGTATAAGTACCGAGCCACGTCAAATGGATTGGGCCAAAAATAGACTAAACAGTTAAAGTAATAATTTACAAAGACACATAAAAGAGTACTATAACGCGGCATTAAGGTGACAAACAATGTCAGTACTTAGAATGTTTACTTAAAGACCATCGTTTATTATTTGTGAAGTTGAAAGGGAATATTTACCCACAAGGTCTTCCGATGAACTTTTTTTGGAAAAAGGACGAGACGTTCTTTGACATATATGTACCACTGGTTCATCAACTTTCTGCCCAGACACTGGTGACGGTTTACAAAGTCTAAGTAGTATCTGCAAGCTCTTGAATAACGAATGAGTTGGGAAATGTATATCCCATATGCAGGAGAAGTTGGTATATTGCTACTAAGGTTGGAGAAACTGATAATTTTAAAATTAAAATCGTTTCGGTTGTCATAGATTCTGGTACTAAGATGACCGCTCATGTCAAATTCGAGGTATAAGTCTAAATATGAGGCAGAGGAAGCCGTGTCTGTTGTTCCTTTAATTTCTAATTCTTGGGGATATATTAATGGAATTCAATCAGAAAAGTCTGGATTGTTAATGGAAAGAACAATATATATGAATGTGAAATTAAACAATCTGGCTTCTTTGATCTTCTTGTTATTTACAAATGTCTGAAGGAACTCCGACTAATAGGACGATAAGAAGAGGTCGCTGCCGCACAGTATAGAAATGCCTACAATTTGGTGACAAAGTCTACCTCCAAATTCAACAAATATGTTGTCAATAAGAAACTCCAGCATACTGGTCACTTGTTCCTCTGTGTAGCATGTTTTATTTTTTTATTCACTATTAACAAAATATGCCGTATGGTATCCAAAAGTAATAAATGTATAGCGTGCACTACCATTTTTATGTTGAAAAGCATTGTAGATTTAAATTATTTCTTTTAGACGATTTTTCAATGACACTTACGGAATGGTGGTACACAGGGTTGAAAAATTAAACATTTTGATAGAACTAATTTCAGAGAAATATCGAGATTTACATTTATTCAGAAGTTCTTTAAGAGTTTTTTTTAACTCCATATGGTTAATACCACTATGCGAGTAAACAGTTTCATGGTATTTCTGAAAACCCTCTTTCATTGAGGAAAGAATCTTTGTCAATCTAATGGACAATACCTTCGTCGAACATGCAGATGAGCTGGCAATGTACGGCCGTTTGTACGGAATTTTGTGAAGCTTAGGTATCCAATACAAACAAGGTAAGTCCTCCGATTTGCTGCTCAAAGTAATGTTCATTGAAGCTATTAAGGACTTATGAATCACCAAAATCTCATCCTTGTCAAATGATGTTTTTGTATGTGGGATTACATGAGTGCTCATTTATTCCTAATTCTTTTACAAGACACTCGTAGTAGTACGATTTGCATACACAGACAAGTCACGAACAGTTAGATTGCTTAATGTACGCTTTGCCAATTACAGCATCGAATTTTGGTTTTAAAGGCCCTTTTTCTTCTTAGTCAGTTGGTAAATTGTGTAACTTCGTTTAATTACAAGCGTTTTCAAACAAACTATCAATATTGAGCTGAAACACATACATATTAATTTGGATCTAAACCATGACAAACTTGATCAAAACCATGACGAATTTTTTGACACTTAACCGAACCATGTCATAACTTAACCAAACCATAGCAATTTCGATAGTTTGCTTATTCTGCGTTAGTTTCTTGAAAATTACAATTCCAATGTAGATCGTTTGACTAACAATGCAAATTAAAACATCTTATTTGCTTTTTATTTGCTCGTTTGAATAGAACTGAGGCAATCGTTCGGGGAAGTAACTTAACACAACCATGTTCATCTTAACCAAACTATGACAAAATCACTGTACTAAACGCTTCTCGATATGACGAGGTTACTACCCGTGATGAATAATGTATTTACAACTATATTTTGAGAAAGTGAAACATCATTTAATTTCAATAATAATAATCTAATAAATTTGCGTTTTTATGTATTCTGTGTAGATAAGTTTTCATTTAAGTGGGGCGAGTTGGCAGACCTGAAAATTATATATTCATCTAGATTTTACCTTTTTTTCATTAAGTGGGGCGAGTTGGCAGGAGAAAAATTAACGGGATTTAACCCTTTTCACAAGTGGGGCGAGTTGGTAAACCAGTTTAGGGCGATTTTTTTAAAAGTGGGGCGAGTTAGTGAAAAAGTGGGGCGATTTGGTGTGGGGCGATTTGCCAGTGGGGCGATTTGTCCTGCTTCCATGACAGGTCATTTTATGATTACATAACATTCTTCTCTGTCATGAATCATACACATCTAGACATTCATATTTATAAATCCCTGATAAGGCAGAATCTGATTTATATATATGATTGCAAGAAATTAGAAAAAAAACAACATCAATTATATATTATTTTATTTAGTTCAAAATATTTTATTGTATTGTATTGTATATTGTTTTGTAATTACGATGATTATTCTGCTCAGTAATGGGTGCCGTGATTGGCACAATAAAATATCTTGTATCTTGTATTAATTATGGAGGCAAGGTTTATTTACATGTACATGTACTTGTAAGCCTTGTGTTTTTTCCAGGATTCTATCTTAACTGTCATATATTATATTATAGAACAAAATTCATCTTTCATACAATCATAATTGTATATTTCAGACTGGTCTTTAACCTTCCCATTGTAAAATTGTATGTTATTATGCCCCCACATACTTACCATGGTCAGAAAGGAATTATGTTTTCAAATCTATGCATTTGTCCATTTGTTCATCTGTCCTGTATCAGGTTAAAGTTTATGGTCAGGACCCTCATGAGGGTGTCCAATTGAAAGTAATCACATAATCACAAATTTTTTGCCAATATAATCACATAATCATTAATTATTTTTTTAAACAAGATAATCAAATAATCAAAAATACAGTCCTAGATTATCAAATAATCATGAAATATTTGGTCTGGTAATCAATAATTACTATAAAAACGGCCAAGTAATCACATAATCAAAAACTCCATGAGGAGGCTCTATGGTTAAGGTTGTTTACCATGAAGTTGTGATCACATTAATTTGATTCATTTAGAACACATGATTATATGATGTGCACTTTCTGAATTATATTCCAAATTAAGATTTTAATCCCATTTTTTATGGTTCACTGATCATGAACATGGAAATATAGTTGGAGTCAAAACAGATTATTGTTCAACTGCTAAATTAACAAACTATTTATTCCATTTGATAAAACTTAACCATTGGCTAGTTAAATATATATAGGCTTAGTGTCATTAGTATTGTACAATTCATATATTAATTCTTCTTTTCGTTACAGAAAATTGGTCCTCTGACAAGCTGTAATGTCAGCTGGTGTCATCATGCCTACCATCGAGGAGAGAGAAACTTTAATGAGAGAAAAAAATCCTAAATACACTGGATTTACACCGAGACCGACTGAAAAACTTGCTTCTAGGAGAAAACCTAAATCTATGCTTGACATTGAATGTAGTCACTATCTTAGGACTGACAATGAACAATTTGTACATGGTCATCCTCATATGGGATATAAACTGTGGTTGGAAGCAGGAAAGCATGCACCCCCATTTCCATTAAATTCAGACTCAAATTTCAACAGTAATGTGTGGAGAAATTTTAGGAAGGAATATGGGTTCCACAATACTGCTGAAGGAAGAAAAATTGGGGATATAATAGCGACAATGTACCCTTTAAACATTCCTGCTCCATCTAGGGTCGGTGCTCATACATTTGATAAATATTTACGAGAGTCAAAAGTATTCAGAAATGAAAAGTTTGAGGCACTGGCAATTAATAGGACAAGAGCAGATGTTAAAGATTTTAAACGTTTACGAGTAAAAAGTGATGCTCGAAATCCACCATTAGATGAGTTAGGTAAGATCAAGTGTGGACACATATAAATGTTTATCTGTATAAATAGTGTAAAGAATGAATATACATTGTAATTATGAACCTATTGCCTTACAATCACTCAGGTAACATAAATGGTGACTTTTGTCAGTGTAAAATTTTACCAATGCTATCACATAACAATGACTTGTGCTCAAAATAACATATATACATTATATATTTGAAATTCTAAATGATTTAGAAGAAAGATGACGAGCAATAACCTCAAATATTTCCAATAAAAACACGAAAGTCTACGAAGGAACATCTACTGTGGATTCATTATTATGTTGGATTTCGTGGGAACATGTGAACCACAAATCTAAAAGTTCAATGAAGAACAAATTTTCTATAGGCTTGTATGCAAACTTTTGTAAAACAACAAAACCAAAAATTCACAAAAATATATTTTTTCTTAATCAATGAAAATTGGTAGTTTGGTACCCACAAAAATAAATGAATTCACAGTATGTAATGGTACTTTTTATCTAGCATATTTATATTATTTTATCAAGTGAAAAATACATGTACAATGTACATGTATCAAGTGATATCATGCAAGGTATTAACCAGCTTATCTACCTCATAAACCAGTTGACCGTCATGAATCCATTTGTTAACTAGCCTATTTAGTTCTAGAAAAGGAGACTGAATTCACTGTAAATTTCAACTAGTTTTAACACAAAAAATTGATAAAAATAGAAATTAATAAAAAATTTAAAATAATAAAACAACTAGTTGTTTGCCTTTGTTGAAGACAAGTTTTACCTACATAAAGGAGAAGATCTCAACTGTTTATCAATATCAATTTTTGGTTTCTATTTTAGGCAATATATTACCACCAGAAAATTTCAAGAAGTATGAACACAGATTTGTACCACCACCACCGGCACCACCAACGCCTCCACCAGCCAACCAGAAAATAGATTCATTAGGTCAGAAATATGTTCCTCGGTCTGAACCATTACTATGGAAACTGTCTTACAAACTTAATCATCCAAGTTACGATAAAGTGAATGAAGGAATAAAGAAACGACGTGCATTGGAAGAAATGGCGAGACAAAATCACCCTGAAGGATCACCTTTACCACAAACTTTTCCATCTCCAATTCCTCAAAACTTATAGCTAATGCATAAGACATGTAGCCGTCTTACGGTTTGAAATTGCTTCAGTTCTTAACCATGTGAACCAACAGTAAAATTTCCTTGTCAGATGTCCGTAGTCAGTTGTGTGAATAAAGATATACATGTATGTTACAGGAAGGTCTCAAACATCTCGCAAATTTTATGATGGGTTCACAGACAACTTGTGATATAAGAACACTCGAATTTGATCAAATCAAGTTTTGTTTTGGTTGAAAGCCCTTGCATTATGATTTCTTAAAAGTCTAAAATGTTCAGACAAGATGATGCAGTTATAAATCACTCTTGGTGGTGTTGAGCAGTAAAACAGTGATTTCTTTGTTTTCAATCAGTTTTTTTCAGCCTTCAGTATTATTGTTTGATAAATACATAAAGAGAAATCTACAGAGTGAATTCAAAGCAATTGCATTGAAATATTTGCCAGTATAAGTTCAAAATTCACCAGCATCAGTGAAATATCACTAGTGTGGGTGAAAATCACAAGTGAGTGTGTGATTTTAATTTCACAATGATGACCAGTTGTATCTGTTATGATCTTTACTGAAATAGTTCCAAGGTATTTGTTTCAACAAGGTCGATCAGGAAACATAAATTCTACTTAGTTAAAAAAATGACGGCAAAATGTTCTTAATTTATTTGATAGAAAAAATATTATAAATTACTTGCTGATATGCATTGCATAATAAATGGTCTCTTAAATCTGAATTCAATGTTGTTTCATTGGAGTCAAGGGACATAACTATGGTGTTTTCTTTTCAAAATTGAATTATTGGTGTTATGGATAGTGTGTGTGATGTACAATGCATTATTTTGTTCCAATAATTTCATTTTATCAACCTTTTTGTTATGCAATATGTTTTCACATTTTGTGATTAATGTTTTGAAAATTTACAGTAGTATTTTGAGATGTTTCACGATGTGTAAAGTGTTTTATTCTTAGGAAGCTGAATGCTTTTTATATTTAAAAAATATGGAAAAACATTTCAAAGTTATGATTATACAATGTAGTATTATTTTGTTAGATTTTTATATCGTGTAGCAGTTCAGAAATATGGTCAGTTTTGTTTTAAAACACACAATCAATAATATTACAATTTTTAAGATCTTTTTCTATCGTTTAACCAAATAACCATTAATATGTATTATCTTATTGTACTTTCTAAATTTTTTATCTCAAGAGATAAATTATAAATGTCTTTTTAAGACAGATTTAAACTGCTGAAGATATTCTAAATTTTTATAGTCCCAAGTTTTACACCTGTTAAAGACTGGATTGAGATAAATTTTCTAAATAGATGAACATTTGTCCTAATTTCAATAACTTTACTATCAAACACTGTTGTTGCCAAAAATGAATCAGTATTAAGTCTTTTAAATGATTATTCTATATATATAGGTTATTAAAAGTTGCCACTTGAACATTATTACATTGTTCTCCTCATTATATTTTCAAATAGTAACATGGGATTTGAAATCACATTATTTCAATAAAATTATAGCTTCAAATTTTAAATACATTCTATTATAAAATCGATTCAGATAGCAATCTGATAGACAAAATTGCACCATGGTAGAAAAAAATAGCACCATGGTAAAAAAAAGTAGCACCATGGTACTACATGATATAGGGAGAACACTGATTATAAAATCAGCACCCCATAATATTTTAAAGGGGGAAAAATCAGATACATAGCATAAAGTATTGCATGTCATCAATACATTTTATTTTCCCCCAGTAATTACTGCAATAGTTGTTGTTTTTGTTGTTGTTTGCTTAAAAATGATTGAATTGTTCTTTCAGATGTTTTTTGTTATGATTGTATTTTTCACAAGATTGTTAAAGAGTGTGTTAAACTATATATATTTTTGTATGTTTTTAATTTCCTCATTTTTGAATAAAATTTATAGTGCTTTTAGAAAGTATACTGCTGATATGAATAAACTGTGATAAATCACTATTTGATTGTATCATAAATTTGAAATAGAAAAATTTTATTAGATGGTTGAAAATTTGTCAACTTTTTTAGATTGCTTTTTTTCCTGTGAAACATACAGTTTAAGCAAGGATTTGTATAGTATACAAATCCTTGGTTTAAGTTATAAACAAAATGCTGCATTATAAAAAAAAACCATGTACACTTCAAAAAGAATAAGGATAAAAATAACAACCATACAAATTTATTAAATTGGTTTTCATCAATTATTTGAAATCTCATATTCCAAAATTAAACAATAAAGTAGATGAGTTATCTCCCATTTTTAGAAGTTCTGTATTAGGATTGGACAATATTTTGTTTTTCATATTTATAATTTGGTAAACTGAGAATATAACTCTCAATGTTTTAGAAATTTTGATTTAAAAGAGCGATTGTTTATAAATTAAAATAATGTTTCAATTGGTGTCATTTCAAATCATTGGAACTGAAAAATTTATTTTCAATTGTATTGAATTTCAGACAAAAACCATTTTTACACTGGTATTTATATTTTGTTCAACAATATATCACCTGCTGCTTTATGAAGAGAAACACTATATGTATAAACTGTATGTAAGAGTAATATTGTATAGATCATTAATATGTGTGTATTGCTCAGTAAACGGAGGTTATTAACTAGTCTATTAACTATGTGATTGTTTTCATCATTGGTAATCTTATGTTATACATGAAGGTACACACTAATCATACTGGCTTTAAATGTAAACAACCTAGCATTAGTAAAATGGAAGTTACTTATAATAGTTAAAATGGAGACAATCTGTCATAGATATAAACAAATAGAGTACTCATTTCAATCATTGTTAAACAGTTAGTCTTCAGTAGATGTGACAAATCAGCAGGCATGAAGGGCCACACACTGCTGACTGACTGGCCTTATGTTATATATATTTACAAGCCAATAACTGACATTTAGGTTAACATGGACCATTGATTAGATTGTATCCTTTACATGAATATAGATTCCAGTCCTTTTTTTTTTTTGCTGTTATTGTTTTTGACATATTTATATTTTTACCTCATATTTTAACATTCCTATTCATATACATTGTACTGCTGAATAAACTATTTTCTGTATTTTATCATTTTATATTGAATTTTAATGCCTGAATATTTATTGACATACTGAAGTCCTCTTTCATGTCAGGAACCTAGTCTTGGATTAAACTGTTCATTGTTTTTTTGTCATTTATGTAATTTGGTACAGATCCCAGATCTTTGACAGTCTGTGATATTTTTCACAATTTTTCTAGACTAGGAGTAATTTCTAGCTTGTGATATACCGGTACTGTATAGAACCTTGTGTATTGTTGGAGATGATAGATGTTTTTTTTGTATCGTTTGTATGCTGTCTCATTGGCATATACTCATCTTGTTGTATGTGAAAAAGAGGCAAAAGATATCAAAGGGATATATAAACTCGTAAGTCAAAAATAAACTGACAACAAAGACGAAAAGACAAACAACAGTACACAAAACAAATGAAATACATAGATGAAGTGACATTGATAAATAGGAAGGAAGTGATATGATGGAAAGTTCATAACACATCATCTCCACATGAATTTGACATAACTCTTAGAAACAAATCATTAATTTTATTGCTGTTCTTTTTCTCCAAGTCTCAACCAGGCTATCAACATGGAGCAAATGCTCATATTATGGCCCCTAGCACAAGTTTGAGTGTATTTCTTGGCCAGATATCAATATCGCTATATATATGCATTAAAGAATACAGATTCAGGGTAACATCAACAAATAACAGTATAACAGGCAAAGAAATTTAACACATACTGTCACAATTGGCCTAACAATCTCACTAATGTCTACAGAAACAATGCAAACATTCAGACAGCTATATCCAGATGTTTGTTAGATATTATGGGTATATCAATAGGAAGTTATTTCCAGATTCATTGCCAAAGCCTTAATTTGTTTGAATGGCAACAAGAAAAGGTTCTCTACAGTTTAGATTGGTTAATACTACTACACTACATGTATATGCAAATATTCTTAACCTTATAATCAAGTTTGGTATGGGATAGAAAGAAGAAAAAACATATTTTACTTCATGACAAAAACCCCTACACTTATCAAACCAACAGCAAAGTAACACAGCTTTTCTGTTCTTAACTAGTGAGGACTTCATTATGAAGCAAAAGTTGATACCTCTTTGAATTCAAACATCCCCTGACCTTAGTTTTAGGCTTTTAGCAGAATTCTTTGCTAGATGTCAATAACTCTACAATTATGCACGAAAGAGCAAATGTAGTACACACTGTAATAATTTTCTCAAGAATCTCACTGGAAAATACATTTAGTATGAAACAATTCATTTGAGATTCTGATAACTCCCTAATTTATAACAAAACAATTTACGAAAAAGAAAAATTATGCGCATGAAGATATACCTGTATGTTAGATAACATGGCAGTGAATAATTCATAAACAGGACACATTATACAGAGTTCAAATTTGCACATACAGGTGGACAGAATAAGAAAAAGTGAAGTTGTACACATATTAAAATGGATGGATGGATTAGTGTTTAAAACATCCAGTGGCAAACATTGGATGTTGGATATGTAATGATTGATACTTTAGTCTTAGATACATGATTTTTTTCACAAAATTGTTATTGGCTTTGAACTAGCTGTCAGTAACTGCGCGTACTCTCAGATCTGTTCTTAGTGTCTTTTTGTTTTTGTCCACGTCCACTCTGTGTTTTTGTTAGATGTATTTCTATTTGTATCCATCTTATGAATTAAGCCTTTTTCGACTGATTTTTATAGTTTGTTCTTATGTTGTACTGTTACACCACTGTCTAAGGTTAGGGGGAGGTTTGAGCACTCACAAACATGTTTAACCCCGCCAAATTCTTTATGTGCCTGTCCCAAGTCAGGAGCCTGTAGTTCAGTGGTGGTTGTTGGTTCATGTCTGTCATATTTGTTTTTTTCGTAAATTGTTTTGTTATAAATTAGGCCATTAGTTTTCTCAATTGAATTGTGTAGGGGCCTTTTATAGCCGACCATACGGTATGGGTTTTTCTCATTGTTGAAGGCCGTACTGTTGCCTGAAATTGCTTACATCCACTTCATTTGAATTTTGGTGGACAGTTGTCTCATTGGCAATCATACCACATCTCCTTATTTTTATATAACATGAATATCAGGACTAGAACATGTTATTGTGAGATGATTATGAACCCTGCTTTGTAATAGACTGACAACCTGAGGTAGTTTTTTTAATATGTTATTTGACTTAATCACTGTATGCAGGAAATGTTACACTAAAAAAACACATTTATTCTGACTATGAGCCAACAAGTCTCTGCACTTACTCCTAAATGCTGCATTCTTAGCAGAAAAGCATCAAACACCAATTTTCAAGTCTTTGGTTTGACCAGGCCAGATATTTTAACCAGGAACTATACCACTTGAGACAAGCACAAGACATAGAGAAATAAATACATCATAACTATAAATATATCGGGTCATACACTGCAAGCATGGGACAACTTTCTATAATAGTCTTCATAATGATCCTTCCCCTTTTGTACTAACTTTTTTCTAAATTTTCAAGCTACTTCAATTCAGCACATTCTTTCTATAATAGTCTTCACAATGATTCTCCCCTTTTGTACTAGCTTTTTTCAAAATTTTCAAGCTATTTCAACTCAGCACATTGCTCCCTGCATTGAATATAATTCATGGTTAAAAAAAATTGCAAATAAATCATAGCTAGAACAAATATATCCAAAGTATAACATAACAACTTGGAGAAGTAGGATGCCTATATGTTCCCTGTAGTCAATTCTGTCGGTCTTAATATTGAAAGTAAGCAACTGCATTTATGCATGAAATATAGGTTAAAGTGACCTAAATTTCAAATGATTTTTGTCGCAGTATGTGAGACATAGGTATGACTATCCAGCGGCAGAGTAAACTATTTGTATAAAGCTTTATATTTCAGAACGTAGAAGACCTGGATGCTTCATGTATGGTATGCAGATACCTTATGTTACAAAAAGTCTGTCTGTCATATGTCATATGTCCTTGACCTCATTTTCATGGTTCAACTACTGCTTGAAAAAAAAAATTGAGTTTTTTTGTCATGTGAATTTCTCACTTATGAGTAATAGGATAACCATATTTGGTATCTGGGTTCCTTGCAACGTCTACATGTCGGTCAGACAGGGTTCACTTGACCTCATCCTCATTTCATGGATCAGTGATCAAGGTTAAAGTTACGTTATTAGGTTCGTTTCTCAAATACTATAAGCAGCAGGTCAACTATATGTGGTGTATGGAATGACTGTAATGGGTACATGTCAGTCTGGTAGGTTTCATCTGTTGTTGACCTCATTTTCATGGTTCATTGGTCTATGTTAAGTTTTTATGTTTTGGACTGTTTTTCAAGTACTATAGGCAATAGGTCAACTATATTGGGCATATGGAATGATTGTAAGGTGTACATGTCTGTCAGGCAGGTATCATCTGACCTTGACCTCATTTTCATGGTTCATTGGTCAGTGTTAAGTTTTTGTGGTTTGGTCTGTTTTTCAAATACTATAAGTAAAAGGTCAACTATATTTGGTGTATGGAATGATTGTAAGGTGTATATGTCTGTCTGGCAGGTCTCAACTGACCTTGATCTCATTTTCATGATTCATAGGTCAATGTTAAGTTTTTTTTTGTTTTGGTCTGTTTTTCAATTATCATAAGCAATAGGTCGAATATATTTTGTGTATAAAAAAAATTGTAAGGTGTATATGTCTGTCTGAGTTTCTGTGATGCTGTTAGTTAAACATTTTATCTTTAAGACTTTCAACATAAAATCAATGGTCAGTATTCAGTAAAGCAGGCGAGACATGTCAGCATGTGCACTCTTGTTATTACTATCAGGAATAATTATACAGACAATATGTCTATATTCTTTGACTTTCAGTTGCATAGATTTTAAGTTAAATGCATAGGAAAATTGACTTGATTCATTCCTGTATGAAATATAGATCAATGCATTATAGTTTTGGATTGATATTCTTATCTCGGTCAATGACAAAAATTGTTGCTAACAGTAGACGAAAAAGACCATTTGACGCCTGACGGTAAAGGGCATTCCTACCCTCAGGTATTCTCTCACCATTTTTTTATAACTTTATTGGAGCAAGAAATTTTGTTATTTGATGAAAATAAACCAGTTAGACCATTGCCTGTATCAGGCAAGACAAAAACAAATGACTATACCAGATCATAAAACAATATTTTTATTAACAATAAAACCTTTGGCTTGTTCCATTAAATTCAGTATACTATTCAAAGAAAGCATATAGGGTATAGCAAAACTACTATATTACAAAGTGAAGGTTTCCCAAACTACTAGCCAGGAACAGCTCTTACAAAATATTTCACAACAACTGATCAATTAATTACACTTATATAAAATCATAGACGTAAATACATATATATATATAAATAAATAAACATAAAATCACAAATAATAAAATATAATCAAATGATTTGTTTTCAGTAAATATACAACATTATGCAAAAATATGATAATCTTAATAATTTTAGGTTCTTAGAACATAAGGACATAAGGACTGTACACACAATTTTATAGGCTGAGGTTGATCAAGATAGAATAGTGTAGATTAACTTATTAATAAACTAACACATAAATAAACAAATATTGTAAATTTAATATGTCATGCATGCATTTATCATTGAAAATCATAAACAACCAAAACTATTAATAGATTAGTTATATGTAAATTAATTCCTGTACATGTTCTACTAGAGGCAAATTTCATTTATTGAGACATTCCTCATGTCATAATTTTGCATTTGTTTTTGAATTTACAGTTTTCCAAGAAATCATTTGATAACAAGTATTTTATTGCACTTTTTTTTTATTTTTTCATTCATCTCTTTAACCAAATAACCCAAGGGAGACAATTCTAATTCTCTCCCTTATTTTTTCAGTACATGGTAGGCTATTTATTAATTTTTGAAATGTTATTTCAAAACATATAATTATCATTGCACTAAAATCTAATGAACAAGGTTACATTAATCTGCTATTATCAGTATTTTTTTTTTCTCCAAAAAAATTTCATTTAATTCAAATTTTACAATTTGCTGTCGTATATGTTTTTTTTTATAAATCTAACAACTATTTCTTCCAAATAAAACTGTTGTGATTTGCATACAAATATTTACTTCTACTAGGTAAAATAAGTTTTAAACATATAAACAATTTAAAAATAATCAAAATATTTTACAATAAGAATCAAACATATAATAAACAAATGTTTCATTTAACAAGCGAAAGGAGTAGATGTGATAAATGTAATTATTTGACCCCACCTGAATTGCAAAAATGTTTAATCTCTTCAGTTCTTTCATAAAATACTTTAACAAGAAGTTGTACATGATTTCTTGCTAAATACACCGGTACTGTCACTCGTTTATTAGACATTGACAAAAAATTCCATTCTCAGTTGGTATAATTAAATTTCAAAGTATGGTCCAAACAGTAAGTGACTGGTAATACAGTTTTAAACCAAATAACAATTAATTTCAATGCAGAAGTTGAGTAATATGTAATGAAAGTTGAGGACAGACAATAAGACAGATTGCATGATACCAACTGGTCCTTGAATATGATATTATAGTTAAGTTTTTTAGTGCAGATAATCCTTTTCAATGTCACTTTAATATTGCAAAATATGAATAATTTTAAATATTTGACCATAAATTACAATTTTTGATAAGTTATTGATAAATTTGATATAAGCAACCATATTTTATAGCTTTCGACAGTATGAGTTTTGCCAATTGTTGAAGGAAGTATGTTGTCTCTGGTGGATATTTGTCTTATTGCCAATCAAACCATATCTCTAATTTTTAAATCAAATATATTTCATGCATATAATCATCTTTGTACAAGACATTATTTCAGTTTTTTTTATCTGAATATTGATAAAATCTCAAAATCAATTCTGTTGTTTGCTGTTTTTTCTAAAATACAAGACATCTAAAGGGTTAAAACAAATATGTACTACAGAACTTTATATATTATTACCGTAATGTCCAGTGAAACATCTAAAGAATATTAGCTGAAAAAGAGGGGCGAAAGATACCAAAGGGATATTCAAACTCATAAGTCGTAAATTAACTGACAAACACCATGGCTAAAAAAAGAAAAAGACCAAAAGACAAACAATAGTATACAAAACACAACATAGAAAACTAAAGACTGAGCAACAGGAACTACACCAAAAACTGGGGGGGATCTCAGGTGCTCCTGAAGGGTGAAAATATTGAAATACACTTTTACGGATTTCTTTATTCATGGGAAAGAAAAAGTAACCTTATCATACATTCCCTTCCTTTGTCTAAAGATACCCAGGACAAAATTCCATATAAAAACAATGCTGTATGTTACAAGTATCTATAAATTTATTAAAAAATATCTAAGTATAAATAGTCTGTATGGTGTTTACCTTCCAGTTTGGTAAGAAACTGACTCCTTATTTTTTAATTCCATTATTTTTTTCAATTTCCTTTAAATTTGAACTGTAATGAGCATGGTGAATCAATTGAAATTTGTACTTACTGTACTGCTCCCTGCTATTTTTGGTGTTCAACCAATAAAATGGAATACAACCCTTTTAGTTTTATAAAACAGATTGTCAAGCAATTTCCTACAGCATCATTATATCTTAACATTAATACAGATATCATTTAAACCTATATGATTCTTTAAGTTTACAATGATTGACATATAGAAGCAGAAAACACATGTAGCTTATATAGTAGAAAACACATTTAGCTTATATAGTAGAAAACACATGTAGCTTATGAAGAAGAAAACACATGTAGCTAATGGAGTAGAAACCATATGAAGCATATGGAGTGGAAAACACATGTTGCTTATGGAGTAGAAAACTCATGTAGCGTATGGAGTAGAAAAGACATGTAGCTTATGTATGATATCATCATTACAGATTAAATCATATGAATTGTTAGATGTACACTTTTTTGTTTAGGAATGACATTTATATTCAAGGAATGAAAAATATAAATATTATCTGGTTGCTAAGATGATTATTAATGTTATAATGGCTGCTACTATAAATAATATAATTAGTAAACAACACATCTTCTTCCTTGATTTCCTCTGAAAATAGAAAGAAAAAAATATTACTGTGTAGGTAACATTAAAATTCACAAAATTAGAATCAAATTTGCATTCACCTGAGGTTTTGCTGTACCAAAATAAATGCACTTCCATTGACTTACCAAAAAGATTGATTGATTGAAGAATGTTTAACACCATTTCAGTTTACATTGACTTTATCATAATGAAAAAAGAAAATAGTGTAATTGAGCTACTTTTCTGTGTTATAATTATTTTTGTCTCATGTTGAAACTATTTTAAAGGTGTGGCTGCCATTTCATTATGCATTTGCTTTTTGTGTACCGGTATATAAAACAAATACAAAGCAGGAACTTTTACCTTCTTATCAACAAAATTATGGACCACAGTCAAAAAACAAAACATAACACAATCACTTGATGTGGAACAAAAATTTTACTCTAAAAATTAACCTACACATTGTTCATGTGGTAACTTCAAAAGAATAAAAACTAATCCAGTGTTGCCAAATAAAAATATCCAAATCAACATCTCTCACTTCTGGTTTAATCTATTTGTTAAGGTCTTTCAACATTTTATTTGCCACACCTATTTTTAAGCCTTAAGATGTAGATAGATGGGTATTTGAAGTCAAGCAGATAATTCTTGATATTCCCTGTTATACACTTGTATGATGTATCGCCCATAACTTGATCTGTAACCTGTAGGTTTCCTGTGCTACACTTTTACCCATACTTGCCAACCTCTGACAATGAAAAATCATGTCATGACATGACATGACATGTCAAAAAGCGTGTGAAAACGTGTGATATAGATGCGGACTTTTTAAAATGAACATTATACAAATTTGTTAATATAAAAAAAAACAATATTCTACTGTAAACTTTTATTGCATTCAACAGTGGCCTATTTTTGCTGCTTTCAAAACAACACTACTAGGCAAATATTCAAAATAACTTCCAGTTTGGTTACATTTACATGATAACAAGGCACACAATATATCATTGAGTTCTGATCTGAATTCAGTGTACATTTCTTTATAATTGAAAATGCTCTCTCACAGTCAGAATTGTTATTTGGCAAACTAAAATAGCTTTAACGTTTAAATAACAAGCTCTGAAAGAATTTCATGAAGTTTTTTTTTTTTTGCCATTAAAAATGTCATCAACGTCTGCCATTGATCCCCACAAATTATATATGTTGCTATTGTCTGGTCAAAACTGGGTTGTTCATCAATAGACAGCTGGTACTCTGAGAACTGATCCAACAGTTCTGTGATATTCCCTTCCCAAATGGCCTGTGGAAATCTGTTGGCTAGATTTGAAACTGAAAAAGAAAAATATTTTATAATTTGAATACCATTGAATGCTTTATCAAATTACTTCCTCTCACACATGTTGTTATGATTGCAAATGATTAATAATGTGGATGATCCTATATAAATATGAGAGTAACATAGGGTACACAGTGCATTGTTCGGCCCTCGATCACTTTCTTTTGATTCATTTTAACATGGACTCCAAACTTTTTTGGTACGTAAACACGTATCATTTTCGCTTAGCACTTGGCTCTTTAGACGACAGTATAGGTCCAGAAATTGACCTCTTTCTGCTGGATTTCCCCAAAGTGAATCGAATTTGAGAGAAAGAAGTCACAAAATCTTAAAACCTACTTACAAACTTACCTGAAGTGAAGGGCTTTTGTTGTTCGTCCATATCGTAAATAAACAATGGCGACTCAACAAATACTTCGAAATTCTCGGTATTTATCGTCTATAAATGAAAACACCTGTGAATCGCGATCTCACTAACGACTAAAAAATCATAACAACGAAAAAGCGTGTAATGGCGTGTAAAGTGACGAAAAGCGTGTACACGCCATGTGACAAAATTCTCGCGTGTAAACCGTCGAAAAAGCGTGTATTACACGCGAATATCATGTGAGTTGGCAACTATGCTTTTACCCAGTGTATAAGTAATCTGCATTAACCAATTAAACCTGATATTCAGCAAATATCTTTAAGATTTTATTTTTCTTATTTGCATGAATTATCTGCCCTTTACCTAATTATGTTTTCTTTTTGGTGTAATACCAACAAAATATGGTTTGTCAAACCCTGTTTCATATTAAACAAGGACAAAAAAATAATTTCCTTGAATTTGACAGTCGTACCAATTAACCCTGCATTTTATTGCAGAAATTTTTTTTCTGAGTCAAAAATATATATCTTGGGAGTTTTTTAAAAGGCATTATTCTTTTTATATTTGGTGTTCTTATAAAATATTTTTGAAACATACAGTGACCTAGTTATTAGTGTTTGTAAACATGAAAGAGAAAGTTGAGAAATTGTCTTGTTTACTTTATTATATGCAATGAAACATTGCATGAAATTTTGACTGTAGTACATGACTGATAAGAGAATAAAATTTACTTGAAATTAAAAATTATGAGTGATTTCTCCTTACCTGATAGTCTGCATCTTTCCCTAACTGAGAGGTTCCTTCTTTTACACTGATATGATTGATCTCCCCTTACCTGATAGTCTGCATCTTTCCCTAACTGAGAGGTTCCTTCTTTTACACTGATATGATTGATCTCCCCTTACCTGATAGTCTGCAGCTTTCCCTAACTGAGAGGTTCCTTGTTTTATACTGATGTGAGCGATCTCCCCTTACCTGATAGTCTGCAGCTTTCCCTAACTGAGATGTTCCTTGTTTTACACTGATGTGAGTGATCTCCCCTTACCTGATAGTCTGCAGCTTTCCCTGAGAGGATCCTTGTTTTACACTGATGTGAGTGATCTCCCCTTACCTGATAGTCTGCAGCTTTCCCTAACTGAGAATATCCTTGTTTTACACTGATGTGAGTGATCTCCCTTTACCTGATAGTCTGCAACTTTCCCTAACTGAGATGTTCCTTGTTTTACACTGATGTGAGTAATCTCCCCTTACCTGATAGTCTGCAGCTTTCCTTGTTTTACACTGATGTGAGTGATCTCCCCTTACCTGATAGTCTGCAGCTTTACCTAACTGAGAGGTTCCTTGTTTTATACTGATGTGAGTGATCTCCCCTTACCTGATAGTCTGCAGCTTTACCTAACTGAGATGTTCCTTGTTCTACATGAGTATAAGCTCTTTCAACATTTGCCTCTATTGAATCTGTAATAGAGATAAATGTTAATTTAATACCCTCTCCCTCCACGCATTTTTTTCAATAGTGTACCTGTGTCAATTTTTATAAATGTCCAGCAAACATTTCAAATTAACCTTGTACATAATCTTGGAATGCAATACCTGTTAAATTTAAATTTATTGACCAGATGCTAAACCTTTAATTCATCAGAACTGACAGAATACTTTTGAACCTTAAATTATGTATGTAAAAGCCTTTTAATGCAATGACGGAAGAGAATATTTCCTTCTTATTTCTGTTGTAAAAAAATTAAAACATATGTAGAATGTATTTATAATCTATAGTCCCTCTAAATTGAAGTTTTTCAAATCTGTACTTAACAATGATGAACATATCTCAATTTTTAATTTGATAAGTTGGAAAATCTTAATTATTTTAAATTATAAGAGACCTTATGGAGACCCCTACACATACTTGCATAGCATAAAAACAACATGACATCTTTCCCCACAAAAGATGTACTAACAATAGAACTGCAGGCAAACAAATAGTATAATGGAATTCAAAAGAACTTTTGCTTTTCAAAACAAATAAATATATGACAATACCTGAGCAAATTGTAAATCTATTGGATAAATTTTTGTTGTCTTTCATAAACATTCTGCAATGAGTTTGCTTGATAAAATTATTGAACAATAAAATGCTCCGCTGGGGCGCAGCTTGATACGACCGCAGAGGTCGAACCCTGAACAGTTGGGGCAAGTATGGACACAACATTCAAGCTTGATACAGCACTGAATTTGGATTGTAATTAAATATTTGACACAGCATAGGTTTCTGACACAGAATGAAAGTGGTCTAAGAACTTAAAAATTTTCAATTTACCTATTCATACATGTGATGGACTGTGAAACTCAGATCAGGAGATTGGGAAATTTTGGTCAGGAGATTAGGACTCAGATCAGGAGGTTTTTAATCGACATTAATTTTGTTGTAAATGTAACCGTGTGCTGTAAAAATGGTCTTTTAAAGTGTGTTTTCTTCAACTTTCCATCCAATTTATTATGTTTATAGTACCCTTGTACTTATAAAGTTTCTCCATCTTTATATTCTACATGTTCAATCTAACATTGTATTTTTCCAGTATGTTCTTTAAATTTTTTACTTCATATTCTATAAAACAATCATTGCAACCAGAACATTTGTTTAGCTATCTGCAAATAGTTTTTAATTTTTTTTTTTCTCTTGCAAATAGTTTTTATTTGCAAACTCAGAAAATCATTTTATCTGTAAAATTAGGGTCATAGTTATTATATAAATTTCAATTTAAGCCTTGAAAGGAAGTCTAGAATCCTCAAATAATTTTCAAATTATTATTTTTTTATTTGTCCTAAGACATTTAAAATCATTTAATAACCATCCTTTTATGATTATTTGTTCAATTTATATTTTATTTATATTCTTTTAAAAATTTTCATTATTAAAAGGAAAGTAACTTAAAACAGGATAAATCAAGGGAAGTAACCCAATAAATACACAGTTTTTGTTACACAACGGCAGTTAGCCTGAGGTAAAAATCGTTGATTACCTGTATGTTTGACACCCAAGCTGACAAGTGAAGCCATATAATTATGCATGTTAATTGATTTACAGGTAAAATATAACTTCAGGTAATGTCAGTTACACCAGATGCCTGAGATGAAATGTTGGGCAGAAATTTTTCATTCATGAAAAATTTCATACACAGGATTTTTTCCTCTTCAACGGGAGGTCGGGAGGAGACCCCTGAAAACGGGATTATTGTACTCCCGTCGGGAGGTTCACATGTATGCCTATTCAAACCATATCATTATTATTTGCTTTTATATATAAATCAGAAATAACCAATTTAAAATGGAAAATGTTAAAGAAAAAAAAGGAAAAAAAAATCCCCCCCCAATTTTTTGAACCCCCTTATGATTCATCACCCCCAAACTCAATCCCAGCTTTCCCTTTGTGGTATGGTACCTTGCAGTACAATTTCAGAGAGATTCATACACTTGAACACAAGTTATTGTCTGGAAACTAGAAAAATGCTTGTTTTTTGGCCCCTTTTTGGCCCCAAATTCCTAGGGCAATTACCCCCAAACTCAATTCAAGCTTTCCCTTTGTGATATGGAACCTTGCAGTACAATTTCATAAAGATCCATACACTTACACACAAGTTATTGTCCTGAAACTAGAAAAATGCATGTTTTTTTTGCCCTTTTATGGCCCCTAATTACTAAAATTTTGAGGGAAAACCCCCAAAATCAATCTGAGCCTTCCCTTTGTGATATGGAACCTTGTAGTACAATTTCATAAAGATCCATACACTTACAAACAAGTTATTGTCATGAAACTAGAAAAATGCTTGTTTTTTGCCCCTTTTTGGCCCCTAATTCCTAAAATTTGGAGGAAATTACCCCAAAAATCAATCCCAGTATTCCTTTTGTGATATGGAACCTTGTAGTACAATTTCATAAAGATCCATACACTTACAAACAAGATATTGTCATGGTCTTATAAAAATGCTTGTTTTTTGCCCCTTTTTGGCCCCCAATTCCTAAAATTTGGAGGCAATTACCCCCAAAATCAATCCCAGCATTCCCTTTGTGATATGGAACCTTGTGGTACAATGTCAGAGAGATCCATACAATTACACACAAGTTATGTCTGGAAGTTACAAAAATGCTTATTTTTGGCCCCTTTTGGCCCCTAATTCCTTAACTGTTAGTACCATAACCCCCAAAATCAATCCCCACCTTCCTTTTGTGGTATTGAACCTTATGGTAAAATTTCATTGAGATCCATTTACTTAAACTAAAGTTAGAGTGCGAAAACTAATGTGTATTCGGACGACGACGCCGGACGACGACGACGACGACGACAACGTCATACCAATATACGACCACAAAAATTTTTTTGCGGTCGTATAAAAATGGATTGAAGTAAAAAAAAAATGGCATAACACTTTATGCATGTTTAGTCTATTATGAATGTTTCTTCATTTTTGTGTGTGATTTCTTCCTAGCTGAATTGTAGGTTTTTGAAAATTTGACTTGACACAATCCAAATGCAAAATTCAAATTGTTTTAGAAATACCTATATGTTCGCCTTGCTCATGAATCAATGCTCCCAGGTCTCTGAATATCTCATTCACATCAAGAATATCTCCCTGAAATCAAAAAGAGGTGTGAGGATAATATTAACCACACATGTATTAATAAAAAATAAAAGTTCCAAACCAAAACAACAGACAGATTAGAAGAAACAAGCATTCTGTGAGTATTGCATGGCAATACATAGTCCTCTACCAGTTAAAAATTCATTGTAATGGAACGAAATTATAACTTGATCTATAACTTGTCATGGTGTAAACTACATAAAAATATCAAGTCAAAATCTGTAAGCATGACGAAAAAAACTGTTGAAAACTGATTATTTAAGTGAATTTTCTATGTCCAAAAACCATAACTCTGCACAAAATCATCAGACCGGAACAAAATTCCAAATTGATCTGCAACTTGTCTTGATAAAACTATATACTAATTATCAAATCAATATCTTCAAGAATGACAAACAAACTTCCACTAAATTCTTCAAACAATTTACCAAAGACAAGGAAAAAAATCCAAAATGTCATTTTGTCTTTTAAATTTAAAAAAAAAAAAAAGAGTTATTTCCCTTTGAACGGAAATCTACTAATTAATAAGTATTTCATCAAAAATTTAATTCTAGGGAAATGGCTTTAACTGAACAAAAAGAAAAGCTAAAATCGTGAAAATTGAACTTGACCTGTAACTTGTCATGATAAAACAATAAACCAAATATCAAATAAATATCTTCAAGCACGAAGAAAAAAATCTGGAAAACTTATTTGCCGGACTGACAGATGGACAGACAGACAGAGAGACAGACAGCCGGAGGGACAGAGTGCAAACCTAAAGTCCCCTTCGACTTTGTCGGTAGGGGACTGAAAAATCGTTGACTGTACAATTCGTTCTTCAACTGATTAAAAAAATAAATGGTAGTCAAACATTAATGTTTTAAAAATAAAATGCTCCGCTGGGCGCAGCTTGATACGACCGCAGAGGTCGAACCCTGAACAGTTGGGGCAGGTATGGACACAACATTCAAGCTTGATACAGCACTGAATTTGGATTGTGATTAAATATTTGACACAGCATAGGTTTCTGACACAGAATGAATGTGGTCTAAGAACTTAAAAATTTTTAATTTACCTATTCAAACCATATCATTATTATTTGCTTTTATATATAAATCAGAAATAACCAATTTAAAATGGAAAATTTTAAAGAAAAAAAAGGAAAAAAAGGAAAAAAATATCCCTCCCCCAAATTTTTTGAACCCCCTTATGATTCATCACCCCCAAACTCAATCCTAGCCTTCCCTGTGGTATGGTACCTTGCAGTACAATTGCAGAGAGATCCATACAATTAAACACAAGTTATTGTCTGGAAACTAGAAAAATGCTTATTTTTGGCCCCTTATTCCTAAACGTTTTGGGCAATTACCCCCAAACTCAATTCCAGCCTTCCCTTTGTGATATGGAACCTTGTAGTCAAGGGTCCGGAAACGGTCATATATGCCAGTCATGTCCTAAGATGAAACTATTTGTCCTAAACGAGTAATTGGGATTTAGGACAAATTTTATTTTTTTAAAGAAGTAATTTCGGTCATTTCATTGACTAAATGTTTGAAATCGGATTTCTTAATCGCCATTTTGCACTGTCTGGTGTAAGTTGTGATCACTTGTTTTTGTTTATAATCCCTTTCCTGTAATAAAACTGCCACTTCAGTAGTTTGATAATCCTGAGGGCCCTCCTAATATCTATATCAATGCCGCCGGGAAACATTGGCTAATGATCGCTAATCACTTTTTACCTGTGGTTTTAATTCACACCTGACAGTGATCACAAGCTCAGAATAATTTCTTAACAAAAATTGAAATTCCCTGACAAGTGTATTCATTATTTAATTACTTTTCAGCAAAGACAATCATCAAATCAGATTAAAAAATTAAACCTAAATTTACGGAGAAAAAAATATTTTTTCATGTGCTTTATTTACTATATAATACGCATGCGTGAAATTGTCTTCAGCAAATTTAATATTTAATCATAAAATGCAAATTGATTTCATGCTAAATTAAACGAGTGCAAATATTGTCTGTTACATTCAAACACTTTTAAAGGTAATAAAATAAAAAAAACATAAAAAGCCGGTGATTTCCTGTCAATTTGATAAACAAAACAAATCCCAGAAATGAATCAGGAATTATTCGTAATTTATCGCAAACTTCCGGTTTTAACTTTTGTCAAATCGAAAGAAACGTATGCAATGTCTGAGAGATTTACCATTTTGAGTCATTAAAATCATTTCAATTTTAAACTATTGCCTTCCCTAAACTGTTCTTCATGGTAATGGTAAGACATTTACTTAGTAAATGTGACGAAACAGCAGTTCGTTGATGATATGAATCTAGTCAAGTTGACATCCACAATTTGGAAAGGGGCACCAACTTTTCAATCATCTCAAAATGACCGAAATTGTGTGGAAAAATTTCCGGATCCTTGCTTGTAGTACAATTTCATAAAGATCCATACACTTACACACAAGTTATTATCATAAAACTAGAAAAATGCTTTTTTTTTGCCCCTTTTTTGCCCCTAATTCCTAAAATTTGGAGGCAATTACCCCCAAAATCAATCCCAGCATTCCCTTTGAGATATGGAACCTTGTGGTACAATGTCAGAGAGATCCATACACTAATACACAAGTTATGTCTGGAAGTTACAAAAATGCTTATTTTTGGCCCCTTTTTGGCCTATTTTCCCTTAACTGTTGGTACCATAACCCCCAAAATCAATCCCAACCTTCCTTTTGTGGTATTGAACCTTCATAGAAATTTTATAGAGATCAATTCACTTAAACTAAAGTTAGAGTGCGAAAACTAATGTGTCTTCGGAGGACGATGACGACGCCAACGTCATACCAATATACGACTGCAAAATTTGTTTGCGGTCGTATAAAAAATAAAACATTTATTTTCTAAAATAAGCATTCCTGTTGGAGGTGAATCAAGGAATTTGTCAAATTTATAAAATTTTATCTTTTTTTTTTATCAACATGTAAGTTATTAACTTTATTTTGTAATGCCCATAAGTAGAAAGTACCAAAAACCTGTTTAAAATATCAAAATAAAATTAACAAGATGAATAGTATGTCTGCAATATTTCCTGTGGATTTCATGTAACCTTTTCATCTAAAAAATAAATTGAAATGTATACCAAAATTAAAACATCTGTAGGTATTCCTTCCAAAAGTTGTCGTAAGAGTCTAAGGAACATCTATTTTCAATTGGCTTACAGTACTTAATTTCTAATACTGTGGATTCATTATTATTCCTTGGATACCAATTTTCGTTGATTTCATGGGACCAGGTGAACCACGAATTTAAATGCTCAATGAATTGCAAATTTTCTATAGGTTTGTATGTAGACTTTGGCAAAACCATGAAATCAAATATCAACGAAAATACAGGCATTCCTCAATCCACGAAAATTAGTACCCACGAAAAAAAAATGAATCCACAGTATTTACTTCTAATTGTCGAATTCGTTCCTCCCTATCCTGTGTCAATGCTAGATCATCTTCTATCACTTGTTCCTGAGCCTGCATCTCTTCTCTTCGTCTTTCTTGTTCAACAAACGGAGATTTGTCATCATCTTCATCCTAAAATATATTAGATGCTATAAGAAAGAGTTATATCTTTTAACAAAAGTACCTCAATGAAACAATTTATATTTTATCCCTTGATCTAAGACTATAAGCAGAAGAAGATTCAGGGTGGTGAGCATAGAAGGTGTACATTCCCCTTTGATTGGTAAAAATATTATTTTATGGCAAAAGAAATTGTCCAATTTGTTTTGAATGTATTCAGTTTCAGGAAAAGCACCACCTTTCAAAAATCCTGCATCCACCTCTGACAAGGAAAGTTTTTTATTAAGTCCCCTTAATATGTAAATAAAGTTAAAGGTGCATTAGCTAAGAGATATAAAAAAAATTAAAATATGATTTTTTTTGTTCAATCTTTAATGAAAGTGAAATAGTGAAATATTAATTCTCTTTTAGCAGCCAGTTTGGTTCAAATTTGTCAAAATTAAAGAACCTTAGTGAGCGTGCTCACATACCCCACGTCCCCACATTGTCATTGGAGAAATAAAATAAGTGTAAGAAAAAAAAAAATTGTAAAAGAAAAAAATATTGAATCATAATATCCTGTCAATATGCACTTCTACATAGCATGTCCTTATTATCTACAAAGTTTCATGAAATTCTGTTGTGTGGTTTCAGAGGAGTTGCAATGACAAACTGTTGCAGAAGTACATTGATGCAAATAAGTTCAAAGGGGCGTAACTCCTAGAAAAAGAATTGAATCGTAATTTCCTGTCAATATGCACATCTAAATAGTATGTCCTTATTATCTAAAACGATTTCATGAAATTCTGTTGTGTGGTTTCAGAGGAGTTGTGATGACAAACTGTTTCAGTAGTACATTGAATCAAATAAGTTCAAAGGGGCGTAACTCCTAGAAAAAATATTGAATCATAATTTCCTGTCGATATGCACAACTACATAGTATGTCCTTATTATCTACAAAGTTTCCTGAAATTCTGTTGTGTGGTTTTAGAGGAGTTGCGATGACAAATTGTTGCAGTAGTACATTAAAGCAAATAAGTTCAAAGGGGCATAACTCCTAGAAAAAAAATTGAATCATAATTTCCTGTCGATATGCACATCTACATAGTATGTCCTTATTATCTAAAAAGGTTTCATGAAATTCTGTTGTGTGGTTTCAGAGGAGTTGCGATGACAAACTGTTGCAGTAGTACATTGAAGCAAATAAGTTCAAAGGGGCACAACTCCTAGAAAAAAAATTGAATCGTAATTTCCTGTTGATATGCACAACTACATAGTATGTCCTTATTATCTAAAAAGGTTTCATGAAATTCTGTTGTGTGGTTTCAGAGGAGTTGCAATGACAAACTGTTGCAGTAGTACATTGAAGCAAATAAGTTCAAAGGGACGTAACTCCTAGAAAAAAAAATGAATCGTAATTTCCTGTTGATATGCACAACTACATAGTATGTCCTAATAATCTAAAAAGGTTTCATGAAATTCTGTTGAGTGGTTTCAGAGAAGTTGCGATGACAAGAAACAGGACTGACAGACTTACGGACTGACAGACGGACAGACATACATACGGACGGGTCAAAAAACATTATACCCTGCGCAACTTCGTTGTGAGGGGTATAATAAGCTAAGAAACAATGCTAATGAATTAATCACTTGCAAGTGAATAATTCGACCTCATTGAATCCGTATTCATGTGACCTTCAATTTAACTCCTTAGCTAGAGTTGGGCTATGCATGAATTAGACGTGTTGAGTTATTAAAAGGAAAAGAATGTCAATGTTGAAAGTGAAACAAGGGTAAATAAACTATTTGATTGACTGATTCGATCCACACAAACTCATTCTTAAACAGGTAAAAATGATGATTAACATATATTTGTAACCTATCATATGAAATCAAACAGACCTAGAAAAATCAAATTGCACGAGTTCGCTATCTATTTACATCTATGTTTATGTTTATATTGGGTTATATGACCGTCCACAGTCTTTGGAGGTCACCTCGATGATTAATTAGATGGCATCTAGTCAAAAATACACACGAAATGCTGATACATATGCATTGTAAACTGCTTACTCTAAACTTTTTTTAAGTTGGATATACATTTTAGTATGTTAAAATTCAAATATAAGAATTTGGGTCAAATCGGTGAACATGAATTTGACAGCTAATGCCTCTTTAAGGTTCCTTAAAATTATGTTAAGATACATAATATGAATATGCAAGTGGGTAAATAAATCATGAATATGTGAATGAGTGAATAAGATAATGTTCCATTAAAACATAAATTTGAAACAGTCATAAAATAATAATCCACAACATTTTCCAGTTCTAAATTTGTTATAATACATGTACCAACAAAAATCCATGTACTGCACAATCTTTCAAAATGAAATGAGACTCACCAACCATCCAGCTGAAGATTTCGGTTTCTTTTCTGTTAATTTTGTTGTCTGTTTAACTTTTTCGGCTGCTTTCTGTAATATTGTTAAATACAATGTTTAAAATTAGAATAGTTTCAAGTTCTAGACACAAGCAAATCTTTTTTGGAGATTTTTTCATACATGCTGAAATTCAAATTTTGAATCTTCAGTTAGCTGAAAATATAGAAAATATATCCTACAGAAGAAAAGATAATCTACTGTGGATTCATTATTTCATGGTTACCAATTTTCTTGGATTGAGAAAAACTTGCATTTTCCTAGATATTTGAATTCGCGGTTTTGCCAAAGTCTGCAAACAATCATATAGAAAATTTGTAATTCATTGAAAATTTGAATTCGTGGTTCACTTGTACCAACGAAATCCACGAAAATTGGTATCCAACAAATAATAATGAATCCACAGTACTTTAACAGAAAAAAGATTGCCTACTTTCATAAAAGAAATAGACATGGTTTTACAAAGGAAAAGATCTCATGCTTTAAACAGAAGAAAGTAAAAAAGTATGTAAGGATTATTTTTGTCATGGTGAAAATGTTTGTTATGCATCTAGAGACTAAATCTTGCCATGACAATATAAAATGTATGATTCAAGTGTGGCCTCATTCATTGGGGTATTGTATGTGCTTATAACAGGCATAAAAGAATAGCTCAAAACTGTAAAAAAAAAATGATTCCCCATGTATAAAACTTGGTCCCTTAGGAAAAGGAAACCAAGCAAGATATGTATGTCTGGCTCTGAGAGAGATATGAATACATAACAACATCCATTGGTCATGGGGACTTTAATCTGATACCTTGTTTGAGAAAGTGCTACAGTTTTTGCACATAAAAGAACCCCTTGATAAATGGCCTGTTGTAAGGCAAAATTTTTACCCAATGTCCAAGATGCCATAATTTCCAGTTGCAGTCTAAATTTACAGCCCTTCATCCCAGTCAACCAACTTTGCAGAGCTGAAATATTAGATTATTGTTAATTTTTTCCCATCCTGAAAATGCATCAAATATTTACCCCTGGACATTAGGCAAAAACAATCACTCATTAAACTGAAAAAAACTTACCTTTTGTAATGATGAAAATCTCTGTACTGAATCTTGAAAATCACTTTTTAATCTGTCAATCTGTAATTTCTGCGACTGTAAAAACAGAGGATTTAAAAGTTAACAAAATGCATGAAAATTTACCACAATTCTAATTTAACTCATATTCAAGTCATTGTTATTAGCAGGTAACAATTTATATTGTCAATTGATGTTGTATCTGTATGTGTATTTCATCATTTCATATTTAACATCTAAACAAAATACGTAAATTGATAATAAATTTAAAATACAGATCCTGTGTCCGAGCTAGCTTCCCTTACAAGGATCTGAAAAAGCTCCATTCTACTTCCTGTTTTTCTTGATTTTGTTCAAGTTTTTTTCTTATGCTACACACCTTAAAAACTTTGGAGGCAGAAATTTAACTGGTTGATATAAAATCAATCAGAACAGAAAGTAGGACAGAGTGTTGTCAGATCTTGTAAGTGAAGGTGGACATCGATCTGTAGTTTAATCAGATAGCATATACTGTGGATTCATTTTTATTCGTGGTATACCAATTTTCGAGGGTTTCGTGGGTCACAGCAAACCACGAATTTAAGAATTCAACGAAGAATAATCCTGAGAAATGTGTATGGAGTCGGATGTTTATTTCCGGTTATGTTATGCAGTTCTAGTATAGTGTTGACTAACGATAAACATTGTAACATAACACGTGTTTTTATTGAAAGAAGATACAAGTATTTTGATTAAATCAATAATAAATATATCGAATATCAGTGATAATTTACTTTTTAAAATTGATTAAAACTGTTCATGGAAAATAACTGCAAGTTGTTAATTACCGTGTCATAGTTTGGTTTACTGGTGATTAAAAATCAATAGGATTAAGTACGGGGATATTGCCCGTAGGTAATATTGTTTATGACAGGAACATTTATTTTCACACCTTTTACTTATATGACTGTTTATTATATTGTGATTAGGGAAATGAGCTTTCAATCATAGAGTTTTGAATGCCTTATAAAATTCCGACAAGAATTTATAAATTGTAAAACAAACAAATAATTAGTTGTCTCTGTCCATTATTGTAATAGAAGTTTTCAATGAACACTTTAACCTAAAATGACCAAGCGAGGATTTTGACAATTCAAAACTTTTTCAACGAATTCCTTCTTTTTTGTTTGTTTTATTATTGATCAAACTAAGGAGGTTGTATGATCTAAATCAAAAAGAAATCCACGAATTTCGAATCTGAATTTAAATTTTTTTTGTGATCAGCGATCCACGAATTTACGTATACCACGAAACGTCTTTTTTTCTCTATCCACGAAAATTGATACCCACGAAAATAAATGAATCCACAGTAGCTGTGAATTATTGTAAATTTAAAGTTTAATGCATGTTTGATCCTGGTGAATTTTCAACAACACAATAATGCTAGATTAATTTATAATAATTAGTGTTGTAGTGAAATATTACTAGCAGAAATTAACATTAGCTTTATTAATATGATGTGCATCCAACCACATTTTTGCCTAGAATAAATACATTGCAACATTGATATCGTAAACAAAAGTAAATTGAGGTAACTTAGACAACAACAAGTAAGTTAATTACATTTTTACATCCTAAAAGACCTTAGCATGACCTGGGATTTCCCTTAATTTCTTAAAATATTATATATTTTGTCCAATATTTGGTCAACTTGATAGTTTTTATTTTTTTTGTATATGTCTTTCTTTGTTTGTTTTGTTCACTGACTCGGTAATCACATGGTAACATGCTGTCATTGAGAGTGGGAGGATAAAGCTTCCATCCTTTACTAGGTCAAACCAAACACCCTTCATACTGGTATTTGCTGCTTCTCCACTAAGGATGCAACATTTAGCAGTAAGAACACAGAGTCAAGAATAATGTATCCTTGAAGGTGACATGTCTTTCTGCAAGCTGTTACCTTGTGAACAAGAACCTAAAAAATCCTGAGCTTTTTACAACCACAAAATTTACAATTTTTCAATCACCCATCTACTTCCAGTTGCAAGTCTTTATTTAGTCAAATCCAATTTAGACAACTTTCAGATTTCACTTGACAGTTTGGGTGTCAATCATACTGTTAATTATTTAAATGCTAAAGTCACTGTGACTTTGAGATGAAGAACAGCAATAAAAGTGCTGTTCCTTTGCTTTTTGTGTGTTTTTTGCTGTGCATGTACTGATTTTGTGTCATGGATGGATACCCTTTGTTTTTCTATTAAAGTGCCCTATTCCCTATTCAGTTTACACCACTTTTTGAGATTATCTCCCTGCTATTTCCAAACCACTATTTATAAGTCGGCACTCATGGCTCTGCTTGTAAATTAAATATTGAATAAAATAGTTATTTACCCTATCAAGACCTTTAATGCCAGCCACTTTTTTCATTAACTTTGTTGTATCTGCTACGATTCTGTTTGTACTCTGTGATGTTTCATGGCTAGATAAGAAAAGGATATATCAACAGTCAAATATCAAATGTTTTATGGGAAAAGAATGTGATCTTTTCCAACACAGGCACATGCCTTATATTTATTTAATAAATTTAATAAGCATAATAATAATTTCAAAGAAAAGTACTGAATATTTTGAATCAGTAAAATATTTGAAAATTTCTTAAAGTTCCAGACTTATGTGAATATCCTGCTACATGTATTATCAACCTTATCTTATCAATTATCTTGAGCTTGAAATGGACATGGATAGGATCTTGTTGGTTGTATTCTAAAAGATTGAGATACATGTAGATGAGACCTGGAAAAAATAGCTATCAAGCCAGTTAAAATAGGGTTTTGATTAAATTTCATGCAATCTTACCTCTAAAAATATATTTTTCTCAAATATATCTTTAAAGATTCTTTCACATTCAACTTTTGAGTATTGTCTTGTTTTAATTGTAAAAATAAACATTTAACATAATATCCTTTTTATACTTGATTTAGTTGTTACAGAATTGGAAAAATAAATAGACGAATATTTTTATTAAATCAAAAGATAAAACTATTTGTAATGAGATTATCCAACCTTGCAAAAGCAATATTGACATTAACATTACAAAACAATACAAACATTTATGAAGAATAAATGAAATCTTCTAAAAAAAGAAAAAAAAAAAAAAAAATTTATTATTTTTTATACTGTGGATTCATGTATTTTCCTGGATACCAATTTTGGTGATTGAGGAAAAATATTTTTTTGGTGAATATTTTATAACACTGTTTTTTTTCAAATTTTTTCAATTTGTTGAACATTAGAATTTGTGGTTCACAATGAAATCCACTTAAATTGTTATTCAACGAATAATAATGAATCCACAGTATGTTAACAAATTATCTTCCTATATCATGGAACTTACATTCTATCTCTGATCTGTGGACTATCCCTTTCTGTATTTATAATGTTGATGGAACATCTAACTTACATTCTACCTCTGATCTGTGGACTATCCCTTTCTGTATTTATAATTTTCATGGAATATCTAACTTACATTCTATCTCTGATCTGTGGACTATCCCTTTCTGTATTTATAATTCTCATGGAATATCTAACTTACATTCTATCTCTGATCTGTGGACTATCCCTTTCTGTATTTATAATTCTCATGGAATATCTAACTTACATTCTATCTCTGATCTGTGGACTATCCTTTTCTGTATTTATAATGTTCATGGAATATCTAACTTACATTCTATCTCTGATCTGTGGACTATCCCTTTCTGCATTTATATTTTTCATGGAATATCTAACTTACATTCTATCTCTGATCTGGGGTCTATCTCTTTCTGTTTTTATAATTTTCATGGAATATCTAACTTACATTCTATCTCTGATCTGTGGACTATCCCTTTCTGTATTTATAATTTTCATGGAATATCTAACTTACATTCTATCTCTGATCTGTGGACTATCCCTTTCTGTATTTATAATTTTTTAATGGGATATCTAACTTACATTCTATCTGTGATCTGTGGACTATCCCTTTCTGTATTTATAATTCTCATGGAACATCTAACTTACATTCTATCTCTGATCTGTGGGCTATCCCTTTCTGTATTTATAATTTTCATGTAATATCTAACTTACATTCTATCTCTGATCTGTGGACTATCCCTTTCTGTTTTATAATTTTCATGGAATATATATATCTAACTTACATTCTATCTCTGATCTGTGGACTATCCCTTTCTGTATTTATAATTTTCATTGCCCGATCCAATGCATTTGCTACAAGTAATAAGTATATTAAAATAAACAAATAAATAGCTCCTAAAAGAGCACACAACTTAAAAGTATATAAAATAGACCAAATTTCATACAAAACTGAAGATCAAAATAAGTTCCTTTATGCAAAAACAAATACTGGTAAACAACTTTTTTTGTAATTTACTGTTTCTATAAATTATTGCTGGTGGTTTACACTACAAAAGAACAAAAAAGACCATTTACACGAGGGTGATGATATAAAAGGAAAATAAAAGTAGAAAATATGTTGGATGAGACACAAAAAGCAAGGCTAAAAGAAATAAAAAAGTTGTTTAAAAAAACCCACTTTTTTCTTAGTCTGGCGGTCAGCTTAACAAGTTGAATTTGGCTGATTCATGAAAGAAATTGCTCACAAAGGCAACAAAAGGGAAGGTACTCTTGCTCAAATTGTGTTAATAGAAACCCATCTATTGGGTAGAGTAAGAAAATTCCAACTCTGCAACGACCCAAAATGACCCTACTCTTAAGGAATGATGGTGGAACCATCAATTTTCATTCTAGAAACCTAGTGCTCCCATTACACAGACCTACCATTTCAGTCCTCTTGAAAGAGAAGATGCTTATATGATACATCCCTTAGAACCATGGATCGACCCTTGAATGGATTTTATATTTTTGAAAAAGAGAAAAAGCCATAAAATATTTGGTATCGAATCAAAAAATGATATCATAAAAAACTTATTAGTTAGTTATTTTCAATATGATTTGCAACAATAGCAACCATTATCAAAGAAAACTAAAATAAAACAAACAAAAGAAGGGTCTGACAACATGAATAACCACTTTATCTTATATTTAATTTTTAACAGTGCCTATAATTTACACTTAGAGCAAAACAAATTCTCGTTCAAAAACCAGGACCGATTTCAGGTTTTTCTGGAAGGGTAAGTATTTCCTGACCTGCATGAAACATCAATCATATTTGCAAATGTGACAGCTGCTTAAAATGGTGCATGGTTTTACATTGTACAAATGTGACAGCTGCTTAAAATGGTGCATGGTTTTACACTGTACAAATGTGACAGCTGCTTAAAATGGTGCATGGTTTTACATTGTACAAATGTTTCTCTAATTCTTAGCCATTTTATTCTGTTTCTAACGGCAAATTTTCTTCCTTTCCTCTGAATTTCCAATAATGACACAACAAAAAAAGGTGACCATGTCTGATCACATAGAAAGAATTTTGAAGATCATTGCAAAAGAAGAAATAAGCTTGTTCAGTATTTCACATCCAATCTTTTATTATAATATTCTTTACAAAGCACAAAAATGTCGGCATATTTAGGACTATCAACATAGTTGACCAATTGCTTATATGTTCTAAGAAATAGTCTAAACCAAGAAAACTTAACGATGGAGAGTTGTCTCAAACCAAACCTTTAAACAGACTTATTAAGAAGGGATATAGTTACGATACTGTTGTCAGATCATTAAAGATGGCATATTTTGGTTTTAATATTGATTCACTCATAGGGTCTTTGCATCAAAATAAACACATTTATTTTACAAGAGTGCACACGCTGAAATGTCTCGCCTTCTTTACTAACCATTGATTTTATGTTGATAGTCCTAAATATAAAGCTTTACTACAAGTAACACATAAACTTAACATGATCCAAGAAAATGAGGTCAAGGTCAGATAAACCAAACGAGAAATACATGTACACCTTACAATCATTCAATAAACCAAACATAGTTGACCTATTGCTTATAGTTTCTAAGAAATAGTCTTAACCAAGAAAACTTAACATTGACCAAGGAACCATGAAAATGAGGTCAAGGTCAGATAAACCATGCCAGACAGACATGTACACCTTACAATCAATTTATGCATTAAATATAGTTGACCTATTGCTTATAGTATCTAAGAAACAAACTTAACCATGAAAACTTAACATTGACCAATGAACCATGAAAATGAGGTCAAGGTCAGATGATAACTGCCAGACAGACATATACACCTTACAATCATTCCATACAACAAATATAGTTGATCTATTGCTTATAGTTGAAGAAAAACAGACCAAAACACAAAAACTTAACACTGAGAAATGAACCGTGAAAATGAGGTCAAGGTCAAATATAACCTGCAAGTCTGACATGTACATCATAAAATATTTCCATACACCAAATATAGTTGACCTATTGCATATAGTATTAGAAAAAAAGACCAAAACTCAAAAACTTAACTTTGACCACTGGACCATGAAAATGAGGTCAAGGTCAGATGACACCTACCAGTTGGACATGTACAACTTACAATCATTCCATATACCAAATATAGTAGACCTACTGCTTATAGTATCTGATATATGGACTTGACCACGAAAACTTAACCTTGTTCACTGATCCATGAAATGAGATCGAGGTCAAATGAAAATTGTCTGACGGGCATGAGGACCTTGCAAGGTACGCACATACTAAATATAGTTATCCTATTACTCATAATAAGAAAGAAATTAACATTACAAAAAATGTTGACTTTTTTTTCAAGTAGTCACTGAACCATGAAAATAAGGTCAAGGACAATGGACTTATGACAGATGAAAACTTCGTAACATAAGGCATCTATATACAAAGTATGAAGCATCCAGGTCTTCTAGCTTCCAAAATATAAAGCGTTTAAGAAGTAAGCTAATACCGCTGCCGCCGCCGCCATAGCCGGATCACTATCCCTATGTCGAGCTTTCTGCAACAAAAGTCGCAGGCTCGACAAAAACCAGTTGTTGGCATGATACGGGTTATGTTCTTCTCATATATTTTATGATGGTATGATACTAAATCCCTAACGGGAGGGATAGTGCTTGAATTTCAAATGATGAAGACATAATTTTTCAATCAGTTTAACTGAGGTCTGGAGCTGTCATGTCAGTAACTGCTAGTAGTCCTTTGTTAATTTATGTATCATTGTCATTTTGCTTAGTTTCTTTTGTTACCTATTCTGACATCGGACTCTGACTTCTTTTAAACTGAGTTTTACTGTGCATATTGCTGTGTGTTTGTTTTTTCTACATTGGCTAGAGGTATAGGGGTAGGGTTGAGATCTCAAAAAACATGTTTAATCCGGCGCATTTTTGCGCCTGTCCTAAGTCAGATGCCTCTGGCCTTTGTTAGTCTTGTATGATTTTTAATTTTAGTTCATTTACATGTTTTGTATGACGTCCATTATCACTGAACTAGTACACATTTTTGTTTAGGGCCAGCTGAAGAATACCTCTGGATGCGTGATTTTCTCGCTGTGTTGAAGATCCTTTGGTGGCTTTTGGCTGTTTTCTGCTCTTTGGTAGGGTTGTTGTCTCCTTGACACATTCCCCAATTTCATTCTCAATTTTATTGTCTGTATATTATCTAAAAATTATTAGAGAAACAGATTCCACCACCAAATCTCTTGCAATACGATATTTCTCAACTCTTAACAGTTAAATTTTTAATATTTAAAAATATAACTGTCTCGAGTGGAGAAATATTGTATCACACTTGATGCAGTGGTAGAATCTATATATATATATCAGATACTAACCTCCATTATTTATTGTACTAATATTTCCACTAATCTCTCTACACAGGTCACTAAATCTTCCCTCTGTAACAGATGAAATATGTGTAAATTATCCACTTCTACATAATTTGCAAATATCATTTTTTTTACAGATATAAAATACAATGCAAAATAGGAAAATCCTCTCTCTATGATACAATAAAATTGAATTTTTATATGTCCAGCAAATCCACAGCCTAGCAAGCAGATTTCTGGACTAGAAACAGACATAAATGAGGACAACATTGAACTATCCTCTAGTCTACTTGATTTATATAATTGTATTTTTTTATTCATTTGTAATTTTTCATTATCAATGTGAAACTCTCTAAATAAATAAACTCTTCTGCTCTGATTTTTGTTAATATACATTTCATTATTTTTGTATGTTATGGTAAAGAAAACAGTTAATTCATAATGGAAATATTTACACTAAAATTTAAAGGAAAAAAGCATAGTAATGTTTTTGGCCTCAGTGTTGGAATCATTTTAAGTACATTCTTTTTAAAGCAAGTAATGCATGTAGAAGCTTAATCTACCATATATTTGAATGTCCATGTCAGTGGTATATTATTTTTTATTTTTTTTATATTTTCCTGCTCAATCATAGAAATAAAAAAGTTTACAGATACAAGTTTTAATGAAACCTCTTAAAATAGGGAGATTTTTATAAGTTGTTGTACAGGGTACAACAAGGAAAAAACAACTAAAATACAAAGGAGATAAATGCATTTGGTTATTGTATGACAGACAGCAAACATCCTAAGACAACAAAACAAGAACATGAACACAGATTATGACAACTTACCTTGCTTGCTGTCCTTATATGGTGCATAACCTGGATCATCTCGATATTCTCTTGTAGCTCCATAATTTGCCATGATGTTTTATCTATAAAATAAAGTTAATTCATTATATATATATATATATATATATATATATAAACAATATTTCCTAGAAAAATAAATTCACAATGTATGATTAGGTGGGGAAAAAAATGTGTGTTAAATGTCACCTGCCTGCTGTCTGATTTCAGGTGACAGTAGAATACTTAAAACCAATATCTGGTTGATCGTTATGAATTATCAGTTTCACAGATGACGGCCAATATGTTCCATTTATCGGAACCACAATCCAGTCCTCTTTTCCTTGAATGTGACCTTCTGAAATAGACTTATCACCAAGTTTGTACTTATGTGAGCAACATGATGGGGCCCTATTAGGAGCAGGATCTGCTTACCCTTAGCGAGCACCCTCGTTTTTTTTTTTAGGGTTTGTTGTGCTCAGTCTTTAGTTTTCTATATTGTGTTTTGTAAACTGTTGTTTTTCTTTTTGGTATTTTTTTGTTTTTTTTGCCATGGCCAGTGATTGTCTGCTTATTTTCGACTTAAGTAAGTAAGTAATTTTTATTGAAATAAAGTCCAGACATTGGACTATCATCAAATACAACAATTACAAAATGAACGTATACAAGTGTTTATAAAATGGAACAAAATTACAAAAACAACAATACATTGAACAGAACAATTATCATCATTGATACCACGGCTGACTCAGCCTGAGTTTAGTCCCATGTAATATATATCTTAGTTATTACAAAGAATTTACAGGTTATCTCCCTTACTACACAACAATGAAAATACTTTAATTCAGTAGAAATAAAATTTATATAGAAGTGAGTGATTAGTATTATATGTCTTGTTTTAAAGACAGATTCATATCATACAGTTTGTTGACACCTAAAATACATATTTTACATACATCTAAGTCCTTACTGCTTACTATAAATTTAAATTTCTCAAACTCAGAAAAATCAGAAAAAGAAGGTAAAACAGAAATAATGTTTTTAAATAATTCTTCGATTATAATTCCCTTGACTTATGAGTTTGAACATGTTGAATGTCCCTTTGGAATCCCTCACTTTTTTTTCCGACAAAATAAATTCATAACTTTCATATAACCATTAAGAGGTACCACGATTTCCAGAGGATTGCAAGAACAAATGAATATCCCAAGGACAAATTGATTTGTCCTGAAAACATGATTTTACATGATGTTATACTACTTTAAACAATATTAAAGAATAAAATTTTAAGATGTTATTCGTTTTTACTCAATAAAAGTGCAATTTCACTTCAAGAAATCGATTAGTAGGTCTTGTATGCAAATTCCTTGTTGAAAACAATATGGCGGACATAATTATTCAAAAGGTAGACAACTTAAAAAAAATAAAAGTATTAAAAGTATTGAAAGAATAGATTCTTTAAAAAACCTGAAATGATGAAAAGTTAATACAGTTATTGTAACGTGTAACGGGCGATCAATGGATCCGTATCTGAATAAATCAGGATTTCAAGTGTTAAACACAAATTTGCACCACAGCCAGTTGTCCTATTCAAAACAATTAACACATCCTTAAATGGATTCACAACGCAAAATATATACACAGCAAAATGTACATAAATCAAAATGCAAGGTGAAGTACCTCATTCACAATGCATAAACACAATGTTTCATAACTGAATATATATACACAATGTCACTATGCAATCACTATGCAACATGTATAAGACCGATTTATTCACAATGTCACTAACAGATCACTATGCAACATGCAACAGGCCCTTTATTACACAATGTCACCAACAGATTACTATGCAACATGCATCAGGTAAGTATCACACAAAACATATGAACACAAAAACAAACATATATATAACTTCTATTTACAACGTCCACCAATATGTAGTATAACCTTGTGAGTATGCAACTAACCACAACAACACAATGACACATTTACACTTGCACAAATCCTTCCATGCACAAGGAATATATATATAAACACAGCTGAACTCGCGCACTAACTATCCCTATGAGTTCCCGCACAATGAATATTCTCCAAACTGGTAAGGTTAAAAAAAGTGCACTTTCACTTATACACTTCCACAATATAACAACTTGCAACACCAGCAAGTATACACCATGTATTCTCACTAATATACATCTATGAAGTATTCACACTTCCACAATACTACAACTTGCATTCTCACTAATACAATAACTTATTATATAAGTTTCACTTTATATCACAATCACTATTGCAATATCCACATATAAATCCGAACACTATTTATATATCCTTTGGAATCACTAAATTCACTCTACTTACCAGTTGGAATATAATCTGTGATGTTATCACTTCAACGGTCCACATAAAACTGACAAAGTTTCTACTGGAAGTGTTTTACGACCTTGACTTGATATACATCCCTTGCACAGTCGGCTTGGTACCCGAAGGCGTTTGGTGAGCGTTTAAATAATTTTGTGCCATCGGTCAGGAACAGGTGGTGGACGCCATTTTGGTAGGCCGCCATCTTGGTATTGTGAGTTGTTATGGTTTTTCTTTTGTTGACTATTTTGATGTTATGTCTTCACAACGGCTGCTTTCAGGGCCAGATTGGTCAGCTTGGCAGCCCGCTAACCTCGATGATGGAGTACTGGTAGATGAGTCTCGGACGTAGTATTAACGATGACAGGAAGCATTATCAGGAACAAAGTTGTGAGACAGTGAAAAGGTGGTCCATCATCTAACACCTAGGATACAGCCCTTGGACGTCACTCGGCATACCACTCCCCCATCCATAATGGGTTTTGGAGTGTATGTTGACGCGGGAATTTGCCCTACGCGGATTATAGCCTAACATAGTCTGTACAGCGTTGGATTGGTTTCTGTCATCGAAAGTAGTAAGTCGTTGATCCATCTAACTGTAAACCCTCATCGAAGATAGCGGGTAAAGGAGAGCTGACCCAGCACGTCCGTTCAGTTGTAATGACTGAGACGTGACTGATGGACAAAGTTTCTCTGTCTTGAGCTGGTTTATATACTACCATCTGAAACGGTCCATTATACTTGAAGGGGTGAAAATCAAGACTATACCAACTTTAGGGGTGTTTTAATTAATAGATGGTGCTCCAACTATGGAGAAACTTATATACATATAGAAACACAATAAATAGGAAAAGACAACTGGTATTTCACATCAAAATAAATGAACTATGACCGATTTCCGTTACATTATCATAACTTCTTTCGGGTATTTCAGCTTATCAAATTACAGTACTTTGGTTTCAAGTCGAGTTATGCATACAAGACATACAAATCGCTTTTCTGAAGATAACTTGTACTTTTATTGAGTATAAACGACTAAAACGTCTTAAACCTTATAATTGTATGCTGTTACACTAATTTAAGCAGTACAACACCATGTAAAATCATGTTTTCGGGACAAATCAATTTGTCCTCGGGATATTAATTTGTTCTTGCAATCCTTGGGAAATTGTGGTACCCATGATTTATGTGGTCCTGGTAAGAGTGCAATCACCTAAAAGAGATTGCAAGCAGAGACACGTGACGTGTATATAATGTCTCTGTAAAGGGATATATATCCTTGTCTAATGAGTTTTCCTGCTATTAAGAATGCATTGTAACGTCACAATTTCCATTGAAAAGCATGCATAGTACGAATTCATATGACGTACCAAAACATATGATCTGACCATAAATATGAAAAATTATTTGGGTAATGCTTTTCATGACTATGTTGTGAATCGTCTTAGAATAATAACAATATGTACTGATGCATAAGAAAATAAAACAATAGTTATACATTGTTAACAGTTACATGTGTCAGATATCAGTATCAGATTACCGGGAAATGTATACTTCTTCCTCAAAATCGAGTCTCCAAATCTGACAAACAATTTTTTAGTTATCACATGACAAATGGGTAGAGTTGTGTCCCTGTAGAAAATATAAAAATGTGAAGCACACGAAATTCCACAATTACCAAAAAATAAACTGTTAGAAGTCTTGCACATCATTAAAAATGGAAGTGAATATATAATACTTATGATTTTAAAATATAACTTCAGATGACTAATGATTTTATTCATCAATACGAAGTTTTCTTGCATAAATATTGATATTTATTTTTTCCTTACCTGTCCTAGCTATATTTGTGGTTATTGGATGTTTACAAACCGGATGATAACGTGTGATTCTTCGTCAAATCTTTGAAAAGTTGAATAACAGAAGTTATTTCAAGACATTACACACTGACAGGTAAATTATTGGCATGCGATAAGAACATTGAAAGTCCTTTGTACACAAATACCATCTTTGTTAGCAGGTGAAAAACTATGGTCAAACTGCAATCATATTAATTTGCAGGTAATCTCAAATTTCGTAAATTTTAACGAAATTTTTTCGACATCTGAACCATTTTCTGATTTTGACATTGAATGGTAAACATGTAATTCAACGATTCATGTTCCAAATGGGATACAATTAGTATTGTCTTCTTCCCTTATAGTACAGTCTTCCAAAGGGAGTATTATCGTACTGTTTTATGTACATAAATGTACATGTTTGATTAGTCCAAATAATTATGACATCTTCAAAGGCTATTATATTTTTTTTCTTTGACGCCTTACATCGACGTCGATGTAAGGCATCAAAGAAAAAAAATATAATAGCCTTTCAAGACGTCATAATTATTTGGACTAATGTTTGATGTGAGAACAAGAAATGTGCTAGTATGTGCAAATTATCTACAGTGGTTGCCTTGGGGTATTCTAGTGGCGGATCTATGGGGTGTTCTGGGGTTTGAAACCCCACTTTTTATACGACTCACATACATGTATGTTGGAACCCCTCCTTTAAAAATGGCTGGCCTTTTTTCATGTAAAAGATGTCATTGAACATGTTGAACAATCTGTTCTTACTGTGACATAATTACATAAGGATTAATATTGTGACGTAAGGAATGTCGGAAAACTGAACGAATTTCAAAAATTGTCTTTAGGAATCTTCATATCCCTCTGTCTTTCTTTCAGAAGGTAACACTTTAGGTTGTGAGATGACTAATAGAGAATCCCTTTTTTGAAATTAATTGAAATTTTAATGGAGTTTTTTGACCATTAAAGACAGTTTAAGGTGGTATAGTTGTCTCCTGCCATCTTGGAATGTAAAATAGATGTAAAGAGAAGGTCTAGATTTTTAAGTAGCTCAAAGAATTTCATTGTACAAGTAAAAATTACAATTTGGCGAAGTATGAAAAATATCTATCATTTTCTCGTATATACTACCTAAGTTATTTTTACCAATTTTTGCCTAATATCTTTAAAACAAAAGATAGATATATTGAAACCTTAAAAAGCAAAAATGATCAGTGAGACAATTTCTACAAATAAATCCCAGGGCCGAAATGGAGTTCCTCTATAATGATGATTTTTACCAAATTTAAAGAGCAAAAATGATCTATATTAATAAGTTAAATTTCACAGAAAACATTGGTAGACTTTTTATAGGAGGGGTTGCTTTTTTTAACCCTGGCAAAAAGTAAAGTACAAAACTAAAGAAATTGTAAATAGAACTTTTTTTAGCAATACAAGACCCAGCAAAAGAGATATTTTGGTCATGAATTTTATTGTAGTCCAAACTGTTGAGGGGTGTCCATTTTCCAAAATGGACATAGACCTAGGTGATCAACACACACTGTTTAGAGCTTCTTGTGTTTAGTTAATATTGGTCTTCATCAGTATTTCAACATCATTGAACATGCCTGTCGACCCCTGCCAATCTCTTTTTGAGTATGGACTTTTTACATTTTTTTTGTCAAAGAGCGCCTAGGATTTGCAATTGCCATCATGCCCCAGCTCTTTCATCCATAAGCTGAATGCATAAAGCTTCTGTGGTGTAGCATCTTTTATGTTTATGTGATTGTTACTATTTGATGATGGTACAAGTTTACATTAGTTTACAGAATAGGTTTTGCTCATTATTTTGTACTACAACATGACAATTTATGTACAATGTATATATTTATATTTTACAAGTCTCTGTTTTATCAAATAGCACTGTTTCCCTAAAATTATAGCAACACATAATCATAAACTTTGTCATTCTGCCTATTCAGATAGCACCATGGTAAAAAAAAATATAGCACATGGTGCAATAAATCCTTGGAAAAATAAATATAAAGATGTTCTAGTATATCTTTTGATTTACAGTTTGAAGATGTCATACAACAAGTTAAATGAAGACCATCCCCCATCATACCAAGCAACAGCTCCACCTCATGAGCCTCCACCAAAGTATGAGTCAGCATACCCACCACAAGGTAAGAATTCTGTTTCAGTAGCCCCTCCCCATCAAAGTATGTATCTACCCTCCACCAAAGTATGAGTCAGCATACCCACCACAAGGTAAGACTCATGTTTCAGTAGCCCCCTCCCCATCAAAGTATGTATCTACATTCCCTTTACAAGGTAGAAACAATCCTTAAGAAACATTCATTAAGGTATGAGAAGTCATGACCACAAGGTAATATCAATCTCCTCTCTGAAGAATTCAAGAGTAAAAGTGGGCATGATAATCTGGAGGTAACAACATTTGTCTATCTGGAGCAGGACCCTCAGATTAAATTGAAAAACTTATTACAAATTTTCTTTCTTTTAACATATATGTGTGTGTCTCTTTCGTCCTTACAAATTTCAGGGTATCACTAAAGATTTTTAAAGGCGATTCCAAAGACTCATCATTTTTAGCCATGGCGAATTCAACAGTGTGAAGATGAAATTTTATTGCTACATAATTTATTATTTCAGTCTCCATGACAAAATAGAGCAAGGCAATGCTGTTAAATTTAGATTATTTTAAAACTTTTGTTATAAAATTATTTTTATGTGCTCAATTGATACAACATTTTTCAATCTTGATGCATTTTTGGACCCACCAGCTTTTTTAAAATGATGAGTTCAGGACACATAGCAAGAACAATTCAAAATTAGGGAACTTTACATAATCCTTGTCTTAAAACAAGCTCCGTGATTTAAAGGTAACTTATTAATTTGACTTTAACACAATTTAACAAAAATGAAATAGATATTGGCAAAATTTAAAAAAAATTATTAAAGATAAGCTTTAGCAAAATAAGAATTTTTTGGCACATTGATGTTTCTAAAGTAAATTTTTGTATTATATTTTTTTCAGGTAACTATGGACAGCAACACTCTACAACAGTAATAACCAACCAACCAGTGATTGTGGTTCAAAGTGGATATGGACCATATTCAAAAGTTGTCACATGTCCTAACTGTAGATCCTCTGTCTCCACCAGTGTGAGTCACGAGGCTGGTGTACTGACATGGCTGGCATCTGGACTCATTTGTCTGTTTGGGTAAGATATTGAAAATTACAAAATGTTTATAAGAACCATACTTATTTCTTAATATGTCTTTTCTTCTGAAATATATTTTTTAATTTATTGCTGTGAAAAGTTTAAGATATAAGAACTGAGAAGATGTGTAATGATTGCCAATGAGACCACTTTCGACCAGACAACAAATGACATAGATGTAAGCATGTTTAGGTCACTGTACAGCCTTCAATAATGAGCAAAGCCTATGATTTTTGTATAAAACAATAAACTAAACTCTCTGAAATAAGACTGAACATAGCTTCATTTACTGCTAAACAAACCGTTGAACAGGACTGAAAATCATTTAGACATTTTGAATAAAAATTACTATTTCAGTACAAAATTGTATTTACTGATGAACGATCCTTAATTTGTAATTGCGTCTTTTTTCAGTTGTTGGTTTGGTTGCTGCTTGATCCCATTCTGTGTAGAAGACCTTCAGGATTGTAAACACAGTTGCCCAAGCTGTGGACATTACTTGGCAATATACAGAAGATCAAGTTAAACAGGGAAATCCATTAATCTGGGGAGATAATAAAGATGCAATGGGAGACAATGAACTAAAATCAGAAATAATTTATATATTTATAATATATTTTTCTATGTAAATAGTTACCTTATTACATAAATAGGAAGGAGGTGCTTGCATATATTATAATTTCAGAAATCTATGAATGTTTTTTCCATGCAAATTATTCATTTTTATTTTGTATTATACTTTGTAAATCTAATAAATTAGCTATAGGAATTAAATCAATGCAGAATGAATTTAACCAACACCATTCTTGAATGAGAATCATTATTCACTATATTTATAATTACCTGTATATTAGGGTGTGGTTGGGGGTTACAGAATAAAGAATAATGGGCATAAAATATAGAGAAAACTGGAACAAAAAAATAAAGAATAGAGAATAATGAGGAGCAAAAATATAAAGAATAGAGAATGATGGGCAAAAAGTATAAAAAATAGAGAAAAATGGCCTAAAAAAATTAAGAATATTGTAACGAAGGACCCCCCCCCCCCCCCCCCCCCCCCCCCCCATCCAGACCTTCGTATATAGAAAATTGTATATTAAAAATGAAGCTAATTTAAAGTTGCATTCACTATGAGCCAGACATTCTTTAAAATCTCAAAAGTCACTGTGGACAAAGTTGATGTAGAAAATTATACAGAATCACTCTTTGTGGTGATTTCAAATTGAATGCTGGCAATTTTTCTCTGATATATTGTTTTGTTGTTACCTCAAATTACCAGCAAGAAGCCAAGAATGCCTATGTTTCATTGAGATTTACTCTACACCAGCAACACTGATTTCTATAGGAATCACCTTTTGAATTATGTTTCATAATCTCTATAGCAATTGGAGGATCTGAAAGGATTTGATGTATAAAAACATCTTTAACTGAGCTGGTTTAATTAAAGGCTCATTCTGGTTTGTAAAGAAATTCAGCTATTTTCTGTGAATCGCTAATACAGGGAAAACAAGAAATGATTGTAACAGGATGCTGTTACGAAGTCTCCCAAACGAAGCTCCCATAATTCGTAATTCCCAGGGTCGCCTGACATTGGGCAACGTCCAGTGAAAATTGGTTTGGTCCAGTAAAGTTATATGCATTAGTGATGCCTGAGGACTAACCTTGTATATCATTCAAATCATCTTGGCATGACAAACCAGAATATATATGGTTTAGGGGTGGGGATCTCGACCATTTACAAGATACTAGAACATTGGGGGTGGGGAGGAACCCCTGGGGACTGGCCCTATACGTCATTCAAATGGTCATTACATGACGAACAGGAATATATATGGTTTAGGGGTGGGGATCTCAACCATTTACAAGATATTAGAACATTGGGGGTGGGGGGGAACCCCTGGGGACTGACCGTATACGTCATTCAAATGTTCGAGACATGACAAATAGGAATATATATGGTTTAGGGGTGGGGATCTCAACCATTTACAAGATATTAGAACTTTCTCAAATGGCAGGGGGGTCGGGATGACCCCTGGGGACTAACCCTGTATATCATTCAAACCATCTTCGCATGACAAACCAGAATATATATGGTTTAGGGGTGGGGATCTTGACCACTTACAAGATATTAAAACTTTCTTAAATGGCAGGGGGTGGGGGTGACCCCTGGGGACTAACCCTGTATTTCATTTGATGTGCTTTATCATGACAAACCAGAATATATATGGTTTAGGGGTGGGGATCTCGACCATTTACAAGATATTAGAAACTTTCTCAAATGGCAGGGGGTCGGGATGACCCCTGGGGACTAACCCTGTATATCATTCAAACCATCTTAGCATGACAAACCAGAATATATATGGTTTAGGGGTGGGGATCTTGACCACTTAGAAGATATTAGAACTTTCTTAAATGGCAGGGGGTGGGGGTGACCCCTGTGGACTAACCCTGTATAACATTTGATGTGCTTTATCATGACAAACTAGAATATATATGGTTTAGGGGTGGGGATCTCGACCATTTACAAGATATTAGAACTTACTCAAATGGCAGGGGGTCGGGATGACCCCTGGGGACTAACCCTGTATATCATTCAAACCATCTTAGCATGACAAACCAGAATATATATGGTTTAGGGGTGGGGATCTTGACCACTTAGAAGATATTAGAACTTTCTTAAATGGCAGGGGGTGGGGATGACCCCTGGGGACTAACCCTGTATTACATTTGATGTGCTTTATCATGACAAACCAGAATATATATGGTTTAGGGGTGGGGATCTCGACCATTTACAAGATATAAGAACTTTCTCAAATGGCAGGGGGTCGGGATGACCCCTGGGGACTAACCCTGTATATCATTCAAACCATCTTAGCATGACAAACCAGAATATATATGGTTTAGGGGTGGGGATCTTTACCACTTACAAGGTATTAGAACTTTCTTAAATGGCAGGGGGTGGGGGTGACCCCTGGGGACTAACCCTGTATTTCATTTAATGGGCTTTATCATTTAGAACATTTTCAATTAAAAAGATTGTGTCTATCACAAACGGTTTTCAATTTATATTCATTTGAAAATTAAAAAAAATAAAATCCCATAGGGTTCTATAGTAAAACCCTCTTTTCTTTTTGCCCCTCAAAGTACCCCTTTATAAACCCCATTGCACAAACAAAACCCTGATTGCACCACTAGACATGTTAGTCTAACATATTGTGAAACCCTAAGTTAATCTGACAAGCGGTTTTGGAGAACGGGTGCGGACAAGTTCAAATTTAAAAGCGGCGGAAGAAGAAGAAGAAGAAGAAGAAGAAGAAGAAGAAGAAGAAGAAGAAGAAGAAGAAGAAGAAGAAGAAGAAGAAGAAGAAGAAGAAGAAGAAGAAGAAGAAGAAGAAGAAGAAGAAGAAGAAGAAGAAGAAGAAGAAGAAGAAGAAGAAGAAGAAGAAGAAGAAGAAGAAGAAGAAGAAGAAGAAGAAGAAGAAGAAGAAGAAGAAGAAGAAGAAGAAGAAGAAGAAGAAGAAGAAGAAGAATAATAATAATAATAATAAGAACTGAGCAAAAACAATAAGTCTTCCCAAACTTCGTTTGGGAGACTTAATTATGTTTCTTTCAAAGGGAGTTGTAGAATAATGCTAAGTATAGTTTATTTTTTGAGATTTAGAAATTCTTAGTGTACAAAATATCAATGTGTGGAACATAATATTTATATTTATTTCTAAAATTTAATATAGACATTATTTTTATATAACTATAATTGTTTTTGTTTGTTTTATTTATTTTTATATTATACTGTTGAATTTTCGTCATATAACGTGCATTTTTATTGGTAGATTTAAATTGTTAAAACCATTTGACAGAAATATTTTTCATGATGAATATGAATGTAAAGCTATTACACTGCAGTTAAAATATTTCTTCTAAATACTTTCTTGAAATGGAAATTGAAAATACTAAAGGGAAATGTTTTTGGGTTGTTGAGGAGTCAAAATCAGTAAGGCCATATTAGGGGTAATATATCAAAGAGCAACTTTATTATTCTTCTTTGTCTTACATGATTTAATGAGATAAATGTGTGAATTTGTATCTCCTATATTGAGAGGAAGATCCTACTTGTTTTTTTGTTTCAAATTATCATAAACCTTATTGGAAAACAGAATAAAATAAAAATTTAACTGTACACCACAACTTTTAGAAGATACATAAAATTGAGTAAAAACAGTTGGAAGTGTTGATCTGGTTTCAATTTTTAGTAAGAATTCCAATAATTTTAAAGGAAAATAATGGACATATTTGACAATATACAACTTGAAATACTGTGGGAAATTTATTGTTAAAACAATACCTCCTAAAAAATAGCCCAGGGGAATTAAAAGAATGAAATATCAATTTTGTGTGATTTTGAAATAATATTTCATTTCAAAGCCTTAGTCATAATTATACTGTTGCTTTTCTTTTGTTAAGTTTCCTTTATAAAGGTTGAAAATGTACTATGCATCACATGTTAATAAAAAAAAAATTTCAGTTTATTTGTTTTTATTGCTTAGAAAAAACCTTTTTGTATGTTATAACTGTCCAAACACCATTGCTAAAAAGGACAGTTAGACAATGAAGTCCAGAAAACACTATGCAAAACTTGCATTCTACCTAAGGATGTATGCTGCTGAAATGCCAAATAAAATTTATATAAATGATATTGGTAAAAATACATGGGCCAAGTTGGCTGAGTGGTCATTCATCTACTGCATCACTAGCCTGTCAACACTTGAGATTGTGAGTTTGAACCCCACACATAACTGGTGCGTTTGACTTTAATTTCAATTAACTAGGATTGTCATTTTTCTTGTTGAAGGTCTTTTCTCTCCAGGAACTACAGCTCCCCCCCCCAAATAAACAAGATTGCTACAATATAGCCAATAGTGCTGAAAGTGGTGTTAAATACCAACAATATATCAATCAATCTGTTTCAATAAATGATGTCCAATACATCAGACTTAAGAAACAAACAAGATCTGTTCATGAAGGTAGAACATACATGTAAAAATCATATATTTATCTGTAACTACAGAGCATACATGGATTAAATGAAAAAGATTTGGAAAAGGGCCAGATGAACAGTGATCCAAAATTTCCAAATTTAAAAAAAAGAGCATAAACAGACACTTGATACTACCAAACATAATTGTATACAGAATATTTTATGGTCAAATGAAATTAAAATCTTCTTTTCTGAAATCGCATGGCAATTGTAATTTGGAAGCGATCTTTGACAGCTTTATGTCTCCTGTTTCAAATTTAAACCCAATTGTCCTGTCGATCTTAAATATGATTGCTGTAACTGTTAGATATTTACATACATGTAATTATTTTTTGGATTCTGATACGTCGATTGATTAAACTTATTTTAAAAAGGTTTATTAAACAGATGACAGATTATGACCCCCATTCAAAATTTACATAATTACTGTGGACAAAAAACTAGATGACTGCCACTATTAATTGATTAGAGTCTTGTGAAACTACCTCCTGTAGGGGCAGCATAAATCATGTTTCTATAGATCTAAGTCTCTCTCCTTGTGCGAAAGTATAAAACATTTGACATCTCTACCTTAACACAGGCATTCCTTATTTAAAAGAATGAAAAGCTAACGTTACCAGATAACTTGACATTCTACTCAAGGGATGATGTCTTCTCACTGAATATTTCAAAGTTTGGTGACTGGTGTTTACATCTGCTATAGAACTTGTAATAAAGGATACCATAGATACAGTCTTCTTCATATCTGGACTTACATTTAGAAATCAACAATTAGGGTTAGTTGTGATCTAAAGTTTTTCCAAAGAAATGATTTCCATTCTCTCATTGTGAACTTTCCTTTTCTGTGAAGCAACAATGCCACAGGTCCTGCATATGGAGATCATGATTTCCTTGATAGTTTTGTGAGTTGATGGGTGCCACATGTGGAGAAGAATTTGCTTACCCTTCCAAAGCACCTAAATCACCCTCAGTTTTTGGTGAGGTTCTTGTTGCTCAGTCTTTAGTTTTCTATATTTTGTTTTGTGTACTGTTTTTCAT